GTGAAATGTGGTATCTACCTTTATCAAAAAAAAAATGTCTATAAGAAAGTCAAATTAAATTTTTATGAGCGTTTGAAATTCAAACTTTTAAAACATTGGATATTCAATCGATTTCTCATGTAGCGATTTCCTTATTTTGTTGTAATTCAAAAACGAATAACTGTAGATACATGAAAATTTCACTGAATGTTTATATTTGCATTTCCTATACACCATACAATTTTGAAAATATTTTGACTATTTTTGATCTGTTAACGGACATTTTCATTTTTCAATTTTTTTAGTTTTTTTCTATAACTATCAATAAAGTTTTATCTGTTGGGCCAAAAAGTGTAAAAACGTAATACAAGGCTCCTGATATATTGATACAATATCAGTTGAAAAAAATTTAAATTTAAATTTAACAATTTTTTTTTATAAGCATTTAAAGATCGAATTTTGACAAAATGTATCAAAATCTCGAAAATTATCAATCATTGTAAATTATAAAATGTTCAGTTTTTATAGCTAAGGATTGCAAATTTAAAACAAAGGTTCTCATAAATAGTTATTTTACTAGGTATTTTACTTACAAGTTACAATATTGTTAACTTTTAAACGCTTTATATACAACTACTGTTATATTATATAGTTATAAGATTGTTACTTTCCTACAAAGATATTTATTTTAATAGTTACCAAGTTGGTTTTCACTTATATATTTACTTAAGTCATAAGTTATGTTTGTTTAAAATTTTTATTCTAATCCTGTTACTAAGTTTGTAATCAGGTATATATATATATATATATATATAAGTAATGTGTTATTATTTAATAAAGGAACTACATTTTATTCATGCATTATATTAAATACAAATTGTTTTATCAAATATTTGTAGGTGTTCATACACAGGGATTGAAGTGTATATAGACTAGCCGAGTGTGTTCAATCACTAAGATTTCACTTATTTTTTCAAAAAAACTAATATGTTTAATACTAAATTAGTTTTATAAGGTTTTATCAATGTTAGTTTAATAATAAACAGTTATACCAATCTTAAAAACTAAAATGTGTAAATGTGATACTGAAAACCAATTTATGAATACATGTTGATTGCAAACAAATCCTTAACTGTTCAATCACTGGTCTGTTCACCCTAGTACAATTAAACCAATACCTAATAAGGTAATATCAGGAAACCCTATGATTCAACATATTATTACATGGTCTGATAGTTGTGTTCCTCAAAATAGAAAATCAATTTTATCTACAGCTATTATTGGTTGGATGTTAATAAAAACATCCTTTTAATATTCTACAACTTAATAATCAAAATGATTTTAAAAATTTTCATACAATTTTAAAAAATGTATGTTTTTCTATAGTTCAATTTTTAAAGGTTGCTGAACTGTATTTTTAAAAAAGTAGTCCATATATTGTACAGTTTAAAACTTATCTAAGGATTTTCTGATTATGAATCTGTTAACATATTTCCTATGGATAATTCAAATAAAATTAATTTGGAAAGTATTAAATATCAAACAATTGGAAAAGCATTAAAACATAATAACTAAGGTTTAGCAAAAATTAGTGATGTACAATCATTATATAAGATTATGCATGTTAGTGATAAAGAATTGTATGAGGTTGTTTTGCAAAATATTAGTTTCACATTTTTGGGAAATCATGAAATATAAGGCTTTTAGTTTTATATCTCCTGTTTTAAAAAAGAGATTTTAAAATGTAATTATATACACCAACATATTATTTTGTATTAGCATTAGGTTTTTTAAAATAAAAGCAATACCTAAAGTTAATAGATTATGTTGGTTATTATACTTTATTTTAAACTAATTATTGTTATAACTACCTAGTTTCTTTTTACTTGGAAGATAATAAAGATATAGTTAGTATTTTAGGTTGGTAATAACTGATTTAACCACTATTATAAACAGAATTAATAGAAACTAAAATTTAATCACTTGTATTTAATTAAAGTTGTTACTTAACGTTTTATGGCATGAAGTAATTAAGAATTTCTTAATGTAGGTATACAATTTTTCAATTTTATACTTTATAGTTCATGAACCACTTTTAGCACCATCCCACAAACACCAAAAAACTATTCCCAAAATCGTTATTCCTTATTTTCTTTAAGTCATCACATCATAGTATATGATACCTATCTATTACTATGTTTTTCAGAATTTATGAGTTCAGCAGTTAAATTTAAAACTACATTTTACTTATCTTTATAATGTAATATTGGTAAACAGCTTACATATTTCAAAGAAAAAGGTTGATAATCATAATAATAATAATAATTTACTGAAAAAAAAAATTTACAATTACAAGAATATTGTGTAATGACAGTTTGTGGTATATGTGCACATATTAAGGTTTACATGTAATGTGAATATAAATAAGGTAAAAAAGAAAAAAAAAAAAGATTTATATATACTAAATATCAAATATTAAATAACTATTCTGTCTATTTAAATGTCTACTATTGTCTGTTAAGTTACCGAACAATAAATATTATATTAAGTTTTAAAATATTATTTTAAAAGTTTAATAGGTAAATTAAATAATTAAAAATGCCAAATAAGTGCTATGTACCAGGCTGTAAGACAGGATACGCTAGTGGAAGTGAAGGAAAAATATTTCATTGTTTAGGGCTCCAAAGGTACTGTGACTATATTATAGATTAAAAAAATATTTACATGATTTTTTATAAATTATAAGTAGGTAATTACTAAGTAGCATTACTCCACAATAATATATTATTATTTAGTACCTACTAATAATTTACACTTAGATAAATTATTTGTACATAAAATCTCCAAAAAAAACTTCGGAGAAGTAAAACAAGTCTTCTGTGCTCTACTTAAATGGATTGGAGTACTTGAATTTTGAGGTAAATAAAAAATTGAAATCAATATCAAAATTCTGTGCTTAGTAGGTGCAAGAGAGAGTATAAAGAAAGTTCCTGTTAAAATTGTGGTAAATAAAGAAGTGAAATCAAACCTCAAAATTCTGTGCTAAAACTTAATTGACTATTGAAGAAAATTCGATGACATGCAATTTTACCACATTTTTAGCTACAAAAAAAAATTGCACAGAACGTTCCACATTTGCCCGCAAAAATTCATATGTCCATGGATGCACTTCGTTCTGTGCAATTTTTTTTTGTAGCTAAAAATGTGGTAAAATTGCATGTCATCGAATTTTCTTCAATAGTCAATTAAGTTTTAGCACAGAATTTTGAGGTTTGATTTCACTTCTTTATTTACCACAATTTTAACAGGAACTTTCTTTATACTCTCTCTTGCACCTACTAAGCACAGAATTTTGATATTGATTTCAATTTTTTATTTACCTCAAAATTCAAGTACTCCAATCCATTTAAGTAAAGCACAGAAGACTTGTTTTACTTCTCCGAAGTTTTTTTTGGAGATTTCAGCTATTTTTCTGAAGCAAGAGACATTAATTCTATATTAATAATGGTACTTTCCTGTTATACGATACTACGGCTGTTATCGAGACTACCACCCAAGACTACCTCCGTTGTCGAGACTACCGCACTTATTTTGTGAAACATCACAATCCTGTTATCTAAGACTACCAAAATGGTACTTCCTGTTATACGTGACCACCTTTATTTTTCTTGCCTTCTTTGATAGATTTTTTAATAATATGTACTTTGGGGATGGCCAGAATGAAATAAAGAAAACATTTAAATACATAGTAATTATTCGTAATGTATTTTACATGTTACACGTCAAAGTGCCAAATTTGGCGCGATGTATGGAAAACAATAAATTAATAATAATAATACAAAATGGTAAATCCACAAATAAAATAATAAATAATTTAGGTACGTACTGTGGGGATGGCCACATTCAAATTATATAAAAAAAATGTAATACATAATAATTATTTGTAATGTACCGAATTTGTCGCGGCATACGGAAAACAATAAAATAATAAAATAATAATAATAATACAAAATGATAAATCCACAAATATAATAAATATAATCGCAGCTTATGGATATCGTTCGACTATAATGTCAGCTAAATAAGATAGGTAGTCGCCATAACGGAGGTAGTCTTTGGTGGAAGTCGCGATAATAGCCGTAGTCTCGTATAACAGGAAAGTATAATTTTGGTAGTCTTAGATAACAGGATTGGGGTGTTCTCAAAAAACAGGGTAGTCTAGTATAACAAGAAAGACCTTGATAATCTATTCTATTATTATATATTATTTCTCTTCTAATACTAATATGTGAGCATTTTTTAAATTGATCGGCCATGGTCTTTTAATTAGTAGTTTATGCAGTACTTGCATAAAATACGGACTCCGCGAGACAGCAGAGAAAGATTAACATACGGCCGACCGTCGGTACGTTTATCACTGTTATTGTAATAATGTACGCCGTACGGATGGTAATAAATAATAATCGAACGGACGGACAATATAGCTACAGTGCAAGCACGGCGGCTAGCGAGCAAATGAAATAGTAATAGGAATTAGGAGTAGGAAGCGCGGTGCGCAGTGCGCTACTGCCACACTGCCACGTATTGGTGGAGAAAAATCGATAGTCATGACTATCGATAATTTCCGATTATTTGTAGTCGGACTATCGATAGTTATCGATAGTTTTCGATAGTATTTTTTTTTTATCAAATTTATGAAATCTAGTTTTTAATTATGATTTTTCATAAATTAAAGTTCTTTAATAGCTAAGTTTTACAATCGTTTTACAATTCTAAAATGTTAGTATGGGAATTATGTTTAATGTACCTAAATATAATTAATATTAATTGTGGCAATTAATAAAAACACAATATAAAACAGTGGCGTATTTTGGTCTTTGGTTGGTCACAAGAGTTTTATTTAGGTAATACATTTTCACAATGTCGTTATAAAGCACTAACAAGTGCAGTCATGTAACTACTATGTAGTAAGTATTAATTAATGTATAATAAAAAAATAATAAAAAAAAGTAGAGAAATAACTAATAAAGTAGAGAAACTGCACATTTAGCATTATCAGAAGATCTAAATGCCTCTTTTTTCAGTCTCGGATCTAATACTGTGGCTAAACGGGTTAATGTGCGTTCCTCATAAGGAAATAACCTTGTTTTAACACTTTCCACTATATTTTGTAAAATAATCTTTCCTTCCGAAGTACTTGGTTGTAGATTTACAAGATGGTTATATATACCATACACCAAAGGTATAATCAATGAAATGGTAACATAATCACCTAAACAGAAAATTATCAAATTAAAACAAAAAAACATTTTAAAATTACAATCTGTAATATTATAAATTACCTGATACTTTTTTGGTTGCATCATCAAAACAACTCATTATTTCAATTAAATCTTGAAGAACTAAAGTGTTTTCCAAAGTCAATACTGTAGGTGCACTAGGCAATCTTAATAATACAATTGTTATATCATTTTTAAGTTCCAGTATTCTTTTAATCATATGATACATACTGTTCCACCTAGTAGGAACTTCTTGAATAACTTTGAGTGGTTTTTTGTTTTGATTTTCTTGCTCTGTTATTAGTTGATTCGTTGCTATATTACTGTTTTTAAAATATGTCACCAGACGTTGACAAGCTTTAATCATTGAAGATGCATTATCTGTCACTATGGTTACAACTTTATCAACAATGTCCCAATCTTTCATTATACAATTTATTTCTGTGGCAATATTCTCACTAGTGTGATTATTTACCATTTTGTTTGTGGACAAAACTGTACAACGCATTTTATAGTCTTCATCGACAAAATGACAGGTGACCGTTAAAAATATTCATTTGCTCTGGAAGACCATAAATCACATGTCAAACTTACATGACAAACATTTTTAATCAGAGCAAACAATTTATTTCTACATATTTTGTAGTTCTCGCTTAACAGAGAGTCTCTTAATTTGGTTCTACTTGGTAATTCATACCTTGGATCGAGAATTTTTACAAAATTTTTAAATCCAGTATCTTCAACAATTGAAAATGGTTGGAAGTCTTTGCAAACCATTAGCATCAATGCCTTATCAATTTCGTTTTTATGGTGGCTGTCACGGTCATAAACGTTTTGTTTTTTAAAATGTTTCGCTATTGAATGACTACTTACTCGTTCAGGATCGTCATCACTTGGCTCAACTATAGCATTTTGTATTTCCGGGTGCATTCTTTTAAGATGGTCTTGAAGATTGCTTGTATTACCACTGGTTTTGTATTCCTTTTTACATTCCTTACATTTAGCTAGCGTTTTATCAGCACTTCTAGTATAATAGGACCAAACACTGGAAATTTTTCTTTTGCCCATTTTGAAACAGTGCCGCGCCGCCGTGCAACCAAGGTCACGCACTCACGCATGAGCATATCGTCACAACTCAACGCGGTATTGCAAAAGCGAAAAACTAGTAAATTCGACCGATCTCCATATACGTTGCATGTAAAAATCAAAATATCGTCCGTTTTCCTGTATATATATCTCTCTGTTCACTCTGTGCTACGACACCGGGCCGCCGTAAAGCACAGAACGCTCTCTAGCGAGATCTATCGATAATTTTAAGTAATTTTCAAGATACTGATACTAATACTTCAAATTTAAATATTATAACTTAATATGATAAATTATAATTATTAGGTAATAAACAATATTTTTATAACTTTTATCTTGATGTAAGATTAAATATAATTAATAAATAACTATTAGGTACATATTAAGTAAATCAAATTTTAAACTTTTATAAAAATGTATTACATATTAATTTACCTTTATTACAATATTCCTATAGGCTATAACATATTTAATTTTAAGCACATCTATCACATAAAACTAGTTTTGAAAATGTGTGGAGAAATGGCCTTTTCGAAATTACCGAATTAATTATAATTTTAATTAAATAACACATTTGTTTATGTTAGTAAATCTAGTTTACTATTTAAATTAACATAATTTGTAAAAAAAATACTAGCCAAATCAGGATATTATTTATAAGTCACAACACAGAACACAAAGGGGTTAAAGTTGGGGTGATGCAGGAGGACTCAGTCAACCCTACTTCTGATGACGGTTAAAAAGCGTCCCATTTAACAAATTAGGATTTTATACATTAGGCATTATACATAAAATTATAAATGGAACGCTTAAAAGTTAAAACTATATGGAGACATTAGTCCCCTCTGGCATTTTTCCCACTTTAAGCCCTGAAAACACTCATAACTATACAGACAAATGAAACAATTAAGATTTAAATTAAAAACAATATATTACAAGTAAAACTAAAAAAATTACATTAAAAACTAGGTATTTGACACATGTTGTATGAACTATTATAGGATATTGAACTGTTAAACATTTGGGAAGGGACGATTCCACCCAAAGATAAAAAAACTTGTAATAAGGATTTTGTTTGTGCTCTTCATTTTCAATCAGATGGTATACTGACACATTTTGAAATTGAAATGCCAGGAGGATTAGTGCATAAAACTACAGAGCGAAAATATCCTATTTTGAGACCCAGATCTATACCATCAATTTTTCCAAACCTCCCTAAATATTTAACTTCATCAAATCAAAAACGATCAGCACCAAAACCACGTGTCTCCTCAATTTCAACTAAAATTAAAAAAACTATACCAATTAATATTCATAATGACGTTATAACACAAGAACCTGAATTACAGTCAATGGAGCTAGCAGACATAATAAAAAAAACTATGACATCTTTATCGCCAGAAATTATTTCAGTACATAATTATGCTAGTCCACAAGGTGAATTTACAGTTGAAGATTTACATAGTATTGCCAACAAAATTGTGTTACCAGGAAATATGTGGGGAATGCATCAAAATCCAGGAAAATGTACAGTATTTACCCACATAAATGACAATTTTGAAAACGATAAAATTGTTCATTTTTCGACAACATGTTTACCAAACGTAATATTGATTAAAAAATGCATGTATTTTCCTAAAGTGAAGAGTTTTGAAGGTCTCCAAAATTTGTTGAATGACATACATAATCTGGTTATTTGCGTTGGTAGGAATGATGATGGGAAAAGGTCTCCAGAATATTTGGGGAGTTTACCTTCAAATAATAAAAACACAAAAATTAAAAGATGTCCAAAAAAATGTAAAATTGGAATTCAAAAAACCAAACGTCAAAACATTCAATTAAGAAAAAAATCTAAATCTTATAGACAACAATGCAAGAACAAAACAGAATAAACGTCCCAAAACAAAGGTAAGTTATAAGTTAAGACTAATAGAGCTATTATGGCAACTTATTTGATATTTTAAACTATTAATACTACAATGAATTACTTATTTAATGATACTTGACAATAATAAAATAATGAACAGAATTTTAAATGTATTACAGGTAATTTCTTTACAACAAAAAATGAATATCATAAAAATGAGTATAATTGTATCAAACAAGCTAAACTAGATGAGTATATTACTTCATTGCCATCTAAGCAAAGATAAGTCATAAAAGCTTGTTTAGATGCTGCTAAATGTAAATCTGCAAATGGTAGAAGATATACAACATGTTGGATTTATGAATGTTTGCTAATGCTTATAAAATCTAACAAACTTTATCTCAAAATGCGGAAGGATAATATAATGCCTTTACTATCATGTATGACACTTTCAAGGTATATAAAAAATTAAATCCAGCCTATGGAATTTCTCAGGCAACCTTTGAAATTATGGGTATGAAATCAAAAAATATGAGAGCTGCTGAGAAACACAGTAGAGTATTTTATTTTTCAACTGTTTTTAGTTCTTATGAAATAGAATATAATAGGTTAATATATTATATTAATTAATATAACTGTTAATTGTACATATAGGTTGTTTACTCCTTGATGAAATGAAAATATCAGAAGCTTTATCATTTCAAAGGTCTAATTTGAAAGTCGAGGGTTTTGTTAATTTAGGAGACTATACTTCTGAAAATGATCGAAATAAGTTAGGTGACCATGCCTTGGTATTGTTATTTCAACTATTTTGTGGGAGATGGTTCCAAACTTTGGGTGCTTTTCTTGGATCTGGAGCTGTTTCTGGAAAAATACTAGAAAAAATGATTTTGGAAGCAGTGATTTTATTAGAAAATCAAAATATGCATGTTGATGTGGTGACAACAGATGGAGCAGCTTGGAACAGAAATATGTGGAAATTATTTGGTATTTCAGATATAAAATCTAGTTGTACACATCCAGTGAATTCAGAAAGAAAGTTGTGGTTTGCGTCTGATTTCCCACATTTAATTAAGAATTTAAAATCTAGAATTATTAATTCAAAAACTCTTCAAGTAAGTACATTATGATTGATCACAAAGTATCATAATAAAAATAAAATTAGGAACTAAAATAAATACTGAACCAACTGAATACTTCAGGTTCCAAAAGGTACAGTTGATGTAGAACATTGGAAGGTAGCTGTTAAAGCAGATTCAAAATTCCAAATTAAAGTTTGTAACAAATTAACCATACACAGAAAGAAATATCGTAGTTGAAATTAAAAAATTATATTTATTGAATTTTGATAGTAATATATTTGTTAAGTATATCATTACTTAATTAATTTTACAAGCCTTATGTTGGTTTAAAAACATTTTCTTTGCTCCAATCATACAGTTTTTATAGAATTGATAACGGTTTGATAAATTAATAATTTAAAATTTGTTAAAATGCCTGATCTGGTTTACGAATAATTTAATAATAATTATTATTGTTTTAAATGCATAGGCGTAACAAGGGGACTATCCACAATAACTTTTTCAAATCGAGATACGATTTTATTGAATCAATAATAATAATTGTATTAAATTAATGATATTTTCTGTAAACCTAGGATCACAACCATCATAGATAATAGAAGAATGGATAGGCCATGTTAAAGCATAATACAACCAGGATTTAACTATTTAAGATATACCTTAGGTATTGGCGATTGAAACCTTATCAAATATCAGGCCGGTCACTTTCAATCGCCAATATCTTAAATCGTGAACAACGCAAGTTGTCACGGTCTAAGGTCTTTTAAGTATTAGAGAGAAGGCGGTCGTCTCTCACCCTCGCAAGTGTCGTATTTTGTTAAGTTGGACGGTTTTGGTGAGAAAGGGTATAAGTCATTTTTTGGATAATTTGGAGTTATTAATCAATTTTATATGATTTTTTATGCCGCATCGTTTGGTGGCACTGTAATTTTTCTATATGTTACTGTTATCGTGCTATTTATACGTGCGGCTGGGCGCAAGTCAAAACAAAAACAATTTATTTGGTGAGAAAGGGGATAAGTCACTCAAAGCAAAAACTTTTTGTTATATTAATAAATTGTTATTAATGTGATCGACGATTCGTCTTCATAGGTAACATAACCAATAGTACTTAATAAGATGTAAATTCATATTTTTTCGAATTTTTATGACATAGTTATTGTTAGTGTAGTTGTGTAATCATTTTAATTAAATTAATACATATTGATACTTGAGAGAGATGACTTCTAAAAGATCCAAACAACTTCTAACATTGGCAAAAAGTAAGTACCTGTCTATTTTAATAATATAATTAATATTAGAAACAAACATACTACTTGTTACATACTTAAAATAAATAATGTAATGAATAATAACATTTTGTAGTAGGGTAAATCAACTAGCCATCATAGATTGTGGTCAACAGAAAATGTTGGCTAGTTTACATTTTTAGCAAGAAATCAAACATAATTATTAAAGATGTTTACATTACATTTTTTACTATATATTTAAAGTTATTTAATTTTATTATTACATACTCTGTAGACATTGATTAACTATGAATTTTTATATTCAAATATCTAGATTTTAATGATGCCAAGCAACAGTCATCAACAACCATCACCAAATTACCATTGCGACGCAATTTGATGCATTCATTTAATGTTGCTTTAAATTCTGATATAAATGTCAGATTATATTTTATATGAACAATTCTAATTATTATACTTTATGTATAACTAAGTACTTAATCATAATTCAATTTTTTTTATTAGGACCAAAATAACCAGCTTAACGATTCAAACGACAATATGGAAGTTGAAAATTATACAGATGTTAAAGAAATTAGTTGTGTAAATTCAAAAATGAATGTTCAAGTCAGTAAACATTTACAACTATTTAAACTTATAGTAGAACAATTATTTCATTTAATATTATTAAAATGTATTAATTAAATTAATTTTAGAAATGGGTAAATCAGTGTAACTTTTTTGATGCCAACGAACATAAAAATAATAGTGTAAATATGATAACATTAAATGGTGAAGATTTTGAAATAGTAATACAAGAGACACCTGACTATGATAATGATGTTAGTGTAGTATTAGGAACACCAGAGCATGTTTTTTAACCAGGTATTAATTATTTTTACTTAGTAGTTGTAATTTATGTACAAATAATTATGAAACTTAATGAATTTAAATGTATAGAAATGTGTCCTCTTTGAAAATCCAAATTTTTTTCTCTATTAATAATATAAAACTACTTAAGTTTTAAGTACCATTACCAATCTACTTTATTATTAGTTTTATTTATCTTACAATGTAAGATCCCGTCACCCGCCCATCATTTCGTATCTAGTCAACTCGATCATAACGACAATGAAGAAAAATAGCGACAATGCCTAAAAATAGATTTGGGTTTTTAATTTATTCACAAATTTCACCGCTGGTATTTATTAAACTCGCTCAATTGTTAAGTTATCAATGTTATAATTCATTTGACAAATTATTTTTGTTGAGTTAAAAGTTTTATAGTTAATCCATAACATGATTATGTTTATTATGATTTAAACGCGTTTACTTATTATTCCGAACGTGGAACGTCCACTCATTTCGACGATCAATTTGGCATTGTGCTTGTAATTCGTATATTGAGTGTGTGAACTATAATTTAATTATTATCCGTACCTGCACTACACATCCAAAGATCAATTATACAATATTTGATGGTTCTTTATGCATCTAAGGTAAGTACCTACTTCAATTGTTAACATAAAATGATTTGTTTTATTTGTGAACTAAATGTACCTACATTGCCAGCTTTGGTTTTCAAAATTATACATTTATTAGGATCATTTAGTACTTACACGTGTAAAGAAAACAAATGCAATAAATCATTTCAAAGTCTAAGTAGTTTTAGAAAACATATCCAAAATAAACATATTTCTATTGAAAATACCGTACATGTAACTGCACTTAATAATTCAATAACAGCTTCAAATTATAATAATTCTGATACAGATTTGCAAATAAATGCTGTCGAACAAGTAAAAAATTACTGCAAATTTGATCAACCGACATCTAAACGCCCCAAGTCAAACGACAATGTTTTTAATATAAATAAATGTATTGAAATATTACATTTAAATGCAGTTCAGTTTTGTTTGAATTTGCATAATAACAATAATTTTTGTAAAAGTGATGTACTAAACATTCAAGATGATATTATAAATAAAATAGTCAAGCCAATTACTGAATTAATAAAAGGTACAATTGAAAATGAAATAAAAGACACTATAATTCTATCTACATTTTCTAAAACAACAACGGCTATCTCAGATCTTTTCAAATTTTGCAAAACAGAACATTTGTTAAATAACTGGCTTAAAAATAATGAACTAATAAGTGATAAATTTAAACAGTTTACGATTAATAATGAAATTAATTTAATTTACCACGATGGTCAGACCATGTATGATGAAGTATCTACAAAGGGTATTTTAATGCCTCTAAAATTTCAAATAAAAAAATATTTTGAACAAAATAATAACCTCACCACATCACTCAATCCGTATAATAGTTTGATTAGTTGCCCGGTGTCAAATATAAACTTTTCTATGTCTAACTTCATTCAAGGGTCTTTGTGGAAAGAAAAAATAGCAGCATACCAAAATAAAATCGCTTTGCCATTTTTTATGTATATTGATGATGTAGAAATAAATAATCCATTGGGGTCGAAATCAATGTGTCATTCTATATCAGCCGTATATTATAGTTTCCCTCTAAATGAACAAAGCTCAAGACTCGATAATATTTTTTTAGCCGCTCTTATTAAGTCCGAAGATTTAAAAACCTTTGGAAATGATTTGTGTTTTAAGAAGTTGGTAGATGAAATAAACAGCTTGGAGAATGATGGAATTATGATTGAAACCCCTGAAGGATCCAACAGTTTATTTCATTCTTGGCTTGTTAGTAGGAGACAATTTAGGAGTTAATAGTATTTGTGAATTCAGCAAATCATTTTCTGTAAATTTTTTTGTCGATTTTGCAAAGCTCATAAACACTTGACACATAGTTTATCACATGAAGATGGTACCTTACTACGTAATATTCATAATTATACAGAAGATATACTAAAAAATGATTTTACACAATCTGGTATTTATAAGGAAAGTATATTAAATCAAATACAATCATTTCATGTTACTTCAAATTTTAGTATAAATGTAATGCATGATATATTTGAGGGTATATGCCATTACAATATGTGCCATTTAATTATTTATTTTACTGAAAATGTTAAAATTTTCTCTTTGGAAACTCTTAATTTCAGAAAACAGAATTTGAACTATGGACTTGAGCAAAAAAATGTATCTCTTCAAATCGAAAAACATCATCTTCATAAATTTCACCTAAAAATGTCAGCAAGACAAATGATGTGCTTTGTTCATTTTTTTACGTTAATAGTAGGTGATTTAATACCAGTAAATGATGAAGTTTGGCAATTTTTTTTAAACTTTCTTGAAATAGTTGAAATATTACTAGGACATCAACTTACTCAGCAAGGTACTGTTCCACATTTAAAAAATCTCATAAGTAGACATAATACAGAGTATGTTTTATTTTTCCAAGACAATTTAAAACCCAAACATCATTTATTGACCCATTATCCATCTATTATTCTGAAGTCAGGGCCTCCAAGAAATTGTTGGTGCTTTCGCTATGAAGCTTAGCACAAAGAGTTTAAGATGTATGCTAGAGCAATAACATCTAGAAAAAATATTTGTATAACATTGGCTAATAAGTATCAATTCAAATTTGCACACTTCTTATTAAGTCAAAAATATGACTATTCGGAGATCAATACAAGTAAATCACAAAAAGATAATACAAATAATTATGATAAATTTATATTCAATCATTTAAATATATCAACTGACAGCTTTGATAGTTATTCAAAAATCAACTTTAAAGGTACAACATACAAAACTGGAAATTACCTAACTAGTTTTATTAATGAAGTATGTTTATATGAAATTCTTGTAATTATCATATTAAAAAATAATGATACATATTTTGTTGTTCATCAAATTCAATTGGAATGGTTTAATTCTCATTTAAGAACATATGAAGTCGATAGAAACAAAGCTGTAGTGTCAAAAAGTGTTATGAGTATAAAACAATTTAGTGGTCCACCAATAAATATTATTCAATTTTCTGGTAACAAATTAATGATTCGGCTAAAAGAATATTTTTAAAAATAATCTTCATATTTTATTTCTTTCGGCTATTGCTATCTACAGTCTAAATTGTAATATATTATAGTTTATTATTATTTTTAATATTTTTATCAAAATGGCAATGTAGGTATAAAGTTGTTATTTAGTTTTTGTACATTTATAACCATTTGAGTACTTAGCTATAGTATAATATAGGGAAATTACAAACTTAAATACCTAAACAGAATTAATTGTTATACATTTTAAATTAATGCTGTTTTATGTAGACATTTAATCATTAGTCATAATAAATTAATATGTATTTACTAATACCTATAAGATATACAATTATGTATAGTTGTTTTAGATTAGAATATTGTATTTATAAAAATCAATACCCACCTACTGTAAAATATGGATTCGGAAAAAAACATTTTTGAGTCGTTTATGATTAATGAAGATCTTAGAGAATACACCGATCTACAATCAATTAATATCAATCAAAGTTTCAATTCTATTGAAAACCATTCTGTTGTTGAAGAGGAGAGCATACCAACTGAATCAGATTTAACCAATTATATCCCAACTTCAGATCCAAATCTTACGCAAAATGCTTATAGCTTTACAATAGATGATAAGATGCATTTGAAAAGTACTTTGGAAGATTGGAAAATGGGATAGGTACTTGTACCAAACATGTGTTGGTAAGTTAAAATAAAATTATATACCTATGTACATACTACATAATATTATACATTTAAGAATTTTTAATTTAATATGTGTACAATTTTCTTGTTATTACCTGAATGTGTAGACATTCAAGCATTGAAGTACATTAGTACTGACCAAATCTCAGAACTTTTATCAAAATATCCCCTGGGTGTCAAAATTAAATTCAACCATTATGTAAAGGAATGGCGGAAAAAAAGACAACTGCAAGTTCCAGGATCAATTATATCTTCACCAAGTGTAACTTCATCGTATCAACAAGTTCCCCCTTTTCTGTATATGAGGTTTTAAATAAAAGTTCTCAAGGTGCTTTGATAACTAATTATTATTAAACAAATAATAATTTAAACGAGTCATGTCGTAATCTAATGGTAGATATAATAATATCTTATTTGGTGGAGAAAAATATTTCTATGTCAGTTAATTTAGCAGATACCAAAGCAACAACAATTAGTGAAACATTCATTTCAGAAATAAAGGTAAACAAAAAAAACCATATTTCAATTATCCAAACATTATATTTTATTTAAAGGTCACATATTGAAACTGTTCCAATTATTTAACTTTCATGTAACTACATTCATTGTTATTATTATATATTTAATTTTAAAATATGTTTATTGTTTATTTATTGCAAGGAAACATACTTTGTTCGAAATTCAGAAAATAAATGTCCAAAGGGTAAACTTTATTCTAAGTATTTCAACAAAATGAGGAATTTAAAAAATCATGGTTTAGTTCCTCAAGGTATATGCAAAAAGGGCAAAAATAGCAACAACAATCTCACCAGAGTTTCTGCAGAGTTGGATGATGAACTAAGTAATTAAAATAACTTGTCAGTTATTAATTTATTAAGATTCTTACACTTAACCATTTTAATTTATAGTAGTAGAAGAAGATGCTGTTTCCTTAATAAGTCACCAAAAACATAACGATTTGTCATGGCCAGATGTTGAAAGTGCTTGGAGGCAAACAGCAGTATACAGGTTAAAAGCATTGAAAAATGCTAATTTTTCATATACGGAAATCCAAACTACTTGAGTCCACTATACTAAACCACTTGTGTATAAGCTGGTGAGTTAATATTAATTCATTTATGATTCAACATATTTTTAAACATTATAAATAATATTATTTTGCATGAATTCAATTTTAATCATAATAAAATTAATTTGGATTATACTATAAATAGATTTAGCCAGATTTCAATAAAAGTGTATGAAAATGTAAGTACCTACCTATTTAAATTGTATTAAAATAATATAGGTACATATTATTATTACTTAACTTAAGAAATAATAATATACATATTATTATTACTTAACTTGTATACTGCAGTGTGATTAACAATGTTAACTATGTTTGCCAATATTTATTTAGTCTGAAGTATTCTTTATTATTGTCTTTTATAGATAGACATTGATTTTCAACGCCTTTATCAAAATTCAAAAGACATGCTTAGTGTTTTTGATAATACATCAGCAAAACTTGTACATTTGATAAACTGTAATTAATTTAATTGTGTAATACTTATATAGTAGTTTGTATAGTAATTTTAAACAAACAGTTACTTTATACTTATATAAATAGTGCTGATTAAAATTTAAAAAATATCATCTTAAAAATTAAACCACTAATCCAACTAAAAAATTTGCTACAGTTTGAAAAAAAATTGTTTGTATCCTACGTTTTCTAGCAGTTTTGGCAACTTTGCGATATATGGTTTCAATTTGTGTAAAATATGGTAATAGAAGATCTAGAGATTCGAACTACAAAAGTATAAATCAAAATAATATTATTATTATTTCGGATCGACGATATTATGAGTATTTATAAACTGTGCGCGGCTCACGGCGTCTCGATAACAGGTTTCAATCAATGGTGAGGTACCGCTGCTCATGCGCGCGGTGTGGGGAACGAGGACGGTTTTAAAACACTGCCGCTATAGTCGCGACATCAGCACCGGACGGCTGTAATTTCATCGTTCTTTTACTAAAAACGGCAAAAACATGCTTGCGTAGTTCCAATAGTACTCAGTCCTCATTGATCGTAGAAACATTTTTTTTTCACAACAATAAAATTGGTAAGTTTATCTGTGTTTTCACAGAAGCATATTTTAATAGCACAATTTCTAAGAGATATATTTGCTATTAAAAATTTCAAGTTAATGGATTTTTAGAACTATCCATACACTTTGTAGAATGAAAATATTTAAAAACCGCTCTGAGAAAACATAGAGAATGTTGTCATCTTTAATTTTGTACCAAAATGTTCAGCCTAAGTCTATTAGAAGCAAAGTACCATTGGAAATGCCAGAACATGTTTAAGCGCTTGAATATTGTTACTGTTGCGCCCTCTTAAAAATTTCAACAGGATTATTACGAGCTGTTTCTTGTACATTAATTACTAAATACTCTTCGTTCTTCTTCCGAATCCATCACAGAACAATACAAATATGTAATTTAATTTAAATAACAAAACTGCAGAGACCACGTCGTCACGAACGGTAAATGTTTACTGACGTATTCTTGTAATATTAGTTTATAGTGCATACGTTATAATACAGACAACACGTTTATTATTATTATGATGGAAACGCCGTACGGTTTAAATATAACTATCAATAGAAATAACGTGATACTATTTAATATCTATTTATAACATCATAATTATAGAAAAATAATATTATATCGGCCTTATTTTGTCAGTGCCCAATATTCTTTTATGCTGTATGGGGACAGTACAACTTGCTCTTTCATATGGTACCATTGAAAAAAACACTGCTATAACAGTAGTGTCACTCATTCGGTCGGTTTTTACAGTACTGCTATAGCGGTATTATTCAAAAGTGGGCTAAAATGCACTTTACCACGCCCCTCACGAATTTCGATTTTTTTTTTTTAAAAAAGACGTGTTTTCCAACGCTGATTTCGAAACTGTTTGAATTTTTGTGCGGAAACCATTATTTTGGAAGTTATAGCCTCCCAAAGTTAACGATTTTACGTTTATACGCATGCGCGCAACACTACTAGATTACCGCGCGGAGTGCCACTAACAAGGGATCACTGCCCATACTATACAACATAACTGCAACAAAAATGCAATTTTCTTAACCCTGTGACCCACTTGGGGAGGTGTTGCACAGCAAGTCGGGGGATATTTTCGATTTGCGGAGCGGAGCGACGGCGCCGAGGAGCGTAGCGACGAGTGCCGCTAGCACCACATCACTGTACGATGTTTTTTTCAAATTGGTGGCTCGGTGCAACAAAAATGCAATTTTCTCAACCCTGTGACCCACTTGGGGAGGTGTTGCACAGCAAGTCGGGGGATATTTTCGATTTGCGGAGCGGAGGTATATAGGTATATAGGTATAGTAGGTATACTACAATATACTCATTAGCATATCTACCTGATATAATTATCATCAAGATAATTGAATATAACAATATTTGTAATAATATACAATTTAGTTATAATGAAATAGTTATAAAATAGCGATATTGATATAAAAATAGAACGAAGACCAATTAAAATGTGCAATTTTGTTTGTTTTTTTAAATATCCCAATTACAATGCATAGCAGTTATATTATATAATATTTAATTTTTAAAATAATTATAAGGTACTTAGTACGATAAATACGATAAAATCAGTCTGCCCGAAAGTGCAATAGCGAGTAGGTCATTTTTAAGAAATTTTATTTTAATATATTTAAAAAGTTATTGTTATTATGTCAAATTTAAATCTTTTAAAAATTTTTAAAATATTTAATTGCGAAACCTCCGGGAAAATTAATGAGGATATTATTATTCTACTCCAAGAATGGAATTTAATTCCAAAAAGTGGAGAATACAAATGCCCTCGTGGTCATAATTTAAAACTAGTGCCACGGAATGATTCTATTGATGGCTTTGTTTGGAGGTAAGTACCTATCTGGCTATCTAGTGAGTACGTTCTAAATCGATCCTTTTTTAACCCAGGTGCCGTGAGAAATGTTCGGTTAGGAATCAAAAAGCTACTAAGTGTAACTATCAGGTATCGATGAGGAAAAATACATTTTTCGAAAAGTCACACCTTTCAATATTTAAGATAGTTGCGTTGTCTTATTTGTGCCTCCAACACACCACACAGTCATTCATTATGAGTGAGTTAGAAATTAGCCGTCATACTATTGTTGATTGGTCAAATTTCTGTCGAGAAGTTATGTATGATGGACTAGTTGCTCATAAAGTTAAAATCGGTGGAGTGGGTGTTGAAGTGGAAATTGACGAAAGTAAATTTGGAAAGCGGAAATACCATAGGGGGCACGCAGTTGAAGGTCAGTGGGTATTTGGAGGTGTCGAGCGAGGGACCAATAAATGTTTTCTTGTCCCAGTGGAGAAAAGAGACAAAACGACATTACTCAACATTATAAAAGAGTGGATTTTACCAGGGACAACGATCATTTCTGACTGTTGGAAGGTAATTATTTAAAATTTAATAAATTTAATAAATTTAATATTTTTTAATACTTAAATATATTAGGCATACGACTGTTTGAATGACGAGGGATATGTGCATTTTAAGGTTAATCATAGTATTAATTTTAAAGATCCCGAAACACAGCAGCATACAAATACGATTGAAGGCCTTTGGAGACATGGCAAATTTTCGCTACCTCAATATCATAGGAAGAAAGATTTTATAGGAGGATATCTCGCTAAACACATGTTTTTAAAACAAATTAAAAATAAAAATGACGCCTTAATAGAGTTTTTCAAATTAGCTGGACATTTGTACAACGCAAATGTTCCAATTAATGTTGAGCAAAACTCAAGTGATACGGATGATAATGAAGAAACAGATGAAGAAACTGATGATAATATTGTTTATTAAATATTTAACATTGTGTAAAAGTACAATATACAATAAAATAAAAAAATTGAATTTCAACTTTAAAATTATTGTCCCCGTAAAAAGAATTTAAATAGGTTATACACGCTCCGTGCGGCGGTAATGCATAGTGGTGTTGAGCGCATGCGTATAAACGTAAAATCGCAAACTTTGGAAGGCTATAACTTCCAAAATAATGGTTTCCGCACAAAAATTCAAACCGTTTCGAAATCAGCGTTGAAAAACACGTCTTTTTAAAAAAAAAAAATCGAAATTCGTGAGGGGCGTGGTAAAGTGCATTTGTTCCCAAAAGTGTCCACTGGCATCACCAAACAAAAATACTGCTATAGCAGTACTTTTTCGTGACTGTCCGTCAATGTGTTATGAATATTTTATATTCCTACCCACGGTCTTAGAAGATAAGGTCGGACAACTATATTTAATCAGCGTTCCGCTTAAAAAATGTCTAAAACAGTTCCACTACTGACCACCTTTTGTTAAAGCGCTGCTGGTTATACGTTTTTGTGGTTATGTAGTAAATACTTTTATATAGGTAAAAATAACTATAGCACGGTCTTAGAAGATAAGATATCTGGTAAATATTAATATGAAAGATAGATATCAGCTTCCAAGACCGGAATAATGCATATTTGAATTTGTATATAATTATTATTTTGAAATTTGAATTGAGTATAGGTAGCATATAATGTCAAATTTTAAATTTATTAATTAAAATTCAAGTGATTCAACATCTACCTTTATTTTTTTCTTAAAGTATGTTTACAATCTGTTATTTAAAACTATATGTAAGTATGTTTTAAGTACCTATATTATACATCATTTACACATTATTTAATGAATAATTTGTGGAGGAAATTATTCACTAAACACCTCAGAAACATCTTACTCTTTAAAAATATTTAGTAATTACAAATAAACTACAAATTACATATTGCTTTACCAAAGTTAAAGCACACAAGACTAACCTGAGAAGCAAAACAGTTTTATAAACAATTATTTACATTAATTTAGGTATTAATATAAAATGTAAAGAAACTATTGAAAAATCTTTGGTGTATGGTATAAATGTATTAAGTCAAAAACAACTAGTTTCAGAAAGATTACAGAAAACATTGAAAAATCATTCAAAATCATTGACAATAATGTCTGGGCTGATAATTAATTTAATTTAGTAGGTATTCAATGTACCTACTTTTGTATTAACTATTAAGTAGAACTTTAAAATCAATTTTTCATTGTTTTTAAGTGACTTAAGATATTTGGATTTTTATTTTATATGACTTACGCTATATGTATCATTAAGTTTCAACAAGGTATGCATTTAAAATGATAACTTTATTTTTTTTTTTATAAAATAGCAAAATATATAATAAAAATAACTTGAAAACTGTAAAATAACATTGCAATACAATAGAATAAAACAACAAAAATAATATTTTTAATTAATAAAATAACAACATGCTGTTTGACAAAATAAAATAAATTATTTAACAGCTAATTACTTTTCAATAAAACAAAACAAAATAGAATATAAAATAAAAATAAACTTATAACCTGTTTAGTAAAATAAAAAAAAAAAACAAAATATTTAATAATAATAAATCACATTTTTATCACAATAGGTATTAGTCATATACCTACTCATATAATTAGTAATCAGTCATCAAAGTTTACCTCATCAAGATCTGGATCATTGTCAAAAATGTAATTTGTTGCTTTTAATTCTGAATAAAAACTATGGAATGTAGGTGGTATTAATGGAAGGAGATCTAATAAATCTTTTTTCTTCTCCTTTGAAATTAAAACTGGCTCAGAATATCTTTTCTCAACATTCAAATCACCAAATTTTCCACGACGCCTGAAACTTAATGATTTGAATGATGCATCCTCTTCAAGTGTATTTTTATAATTAATTATGCCTTTATCAGATTTTCTGTATTGTAGCCACTGCACATCATGTCATTTAAATGGTTCACGATCTGTATTTATTTTATGAGCAACTAAAGGACCCTTCAATAGCTTAGCAAAATCAAAGAAATCATCTTGTGCCATTTCTATATTTTTAAATTTTAATTTTTTTAACAGTACTTCTAACAAGTTGATACCAATCATGTGGGTGGAATATAGGAATTTGAATTTTTTTTCTGTTTTTCTATTAGAGAATGGTCAACATCACACTCCATGTGAGTATGCCCTAAAACTAAAAATTTATGATTTATAATATTTATATTAGGCAACATATGAATGATTTTGAGGAACATGGCCGATACATGAGAATTTTTATTCTGTCCACCACAAGTGTCAGAGTAAAATGTAACTTCAGTTACATTGTTTGGTGTATTATTAATCAAGTGTTTAAATAAACAAGAAGCGATTTCATTAGCACCTCTGCCAGCAACTGCTTCATGCCACATGTAGTTAAATGATTGGCCATCAGCGTTATTATGGATAGTTAAATTGAATGTCCATAGCTGTCTTTTATAAAATGCTAGCGAAGACTGCAGATATGGCGTAGGTAAGCATTGCTGCAAATCAAATGAAAAACATTCCTTTTCAGGATTATTCTTGGAGATTTCTTTATCAATAGCTTTACTGCTATAACCAAGATCTGCATTAGATTGATGTATATTTAAAGTATTTCTATAAGTTATCAGCATATCTTCATTTTTGGATTCTTCTGCAGTTTTAATTTGCATTTGAAGATTATCACATTTATGGTAAGTATCTACCTTGGGCTTTTTAAAACTTAACTTTAACTTATGAAATTCTCTTTCATATATAAATCTGGACACAGTACTATTATGAATATGATTATCCTTGTACATTTGGTACATAATGTTTAAATTTAAATGACTCTGTAAATATTTTTTGTCATTTTTTTTTCTAGTATAGTGACTTTCATGCGCAGGAAAAGAGTTAATGTGTGCAATTACTTCTGCTAAAGTATTTTCTGTAGTTTTATTTGTTGATGATTGTCTTCCACGCTTATCTGGAGCTTAAATACCAGAAACACTCTCTAACTTGTTTTTGATTACAGACCTTATGAATCCTTCTTTTTCACAATTAATACACCTAACACGAGAAGTTTTTTTATCAGCAGAATTAAATTTGAGTACAAAAATTAAATCAATCTTAGTAGATTGGGATTTAGAGGGCAAAATTATATTTGCCGTTTCAGACAATGCAAGTAACATACAGTTGGCATTAACTAAGTTGGAGCTCAAACATTTTGGCTGTTTTGCTCATACCTTGAATTTGATTGTACAAGCAGCGCTACGTTCACAATCAGAACTGTTGAATAAAGTTAAAACGATAGTAAATTATTTTCGTAAGAGTACATCTGCAAATAAAAAATTTAATGTTTATCAAATAAGTAATGGTGCCAAAGAGCCTAAAAAGCTTCTACAAGATGTTAGTACCCGATGGAATTCCACTTTTTATATGCTCGAGCGTTTTGTTGAGATTGAAACTTCTATTCGGGGAACACTCGGACTTCTTGACAATTCACCAAAAGGATTAACTTCAGACGAGTGGAAAGTAATCAAAGAGCTTATTCATATTCTACGTCCTTTTGAAGAAGCAACTAAGGCTGTTGGTGGTGGTAATTATATGACAGCTTCTATAGTTATTGTTATAGCACAGGGGCTAATAAATGTTTATGAACAACTGCAGAAACAGAATTATACATTAAGGGTCAATGATGTAATAAAAAATATCTTAAGTGAGATGAAAGAAAGAGATCGATGGGGAAATATTGAAAAGAGTAAAATCTCGGCCCGCTGTACGTTTCTCGATCCTAGATTTAAAGATGTTCCATTTAGTGAAGTATTGCAACAGACAACTGTAACGGAGTAAAACTAAAACAGTCCTTTTTAGGACTACACAATATCGACCAATCATAACGCGCCATATAAGTAATCAAAGTAACCAGAACTGTACTACTAAATATGAGTGATTTCAAAGTGGTTAACGACTTAACAAAGCACAGCCATGGATAGGGGAGATTAGGACGAATCTAACGAAACCCTCCCCATGGATGTAACCAAAAAACCCAATGAATAAACCACAAACCCGTACCGACAGTAAACACAAGCATTACGGCGGCACACACGCTAGTTTACTAGTCGGTACGGCGCACGAGATATATACCGGTCGCTTCCCGACCACAATAATCTTCTTCAGTCTTCAATCAACATTACCTCTTCTACCAGAACACACCAGTATCTCAGTACGAAGAAACGAAGACAGGAAGACCACCGAAGCGAACGACGATTAGCTGCAACCAGCAGTTGGGAAGCCACATCGCCGGAGACGCCGAACGAACCCACTCCCTCCATACGGAGCGAAACCGCAGCTAAACAACTGCCAGAAGGAGCAACGACGGAAGCAACTTCAACTCAAACCTTCAAACCGTCAACATCTCCAGCAAGAACGAGACCTGAAGGACCTGAAGCAACACCGACCACGCCGATTCCACTGGCAACGGATTACGAGTTGCCTATACCATACGACCGACGGCGTGTATATTGTTCAGCACCGCTCAAGGCTAATCGGCTATCAGGCACTGTCTTACCCATAGACACCTGACGAACGTCCTCGAAGTGCAACAATCAGCGTCAAACCGTATCTACGGGCAACGCCGTAATATCGTCTCAAGACCGCGGGGATATCGGCGCTAACGATCGACGTCCCAGCCGAACCCATCCCGGCCGACGGCTTATACCGTCGGATAACCGCGGGAACTACCAAAAACTTGTCCTTTTCAGGACAACCACCTTTATATAGACCCCCCAAGCGCGCCTGTTACGACCCATAGAGCGGACGCCACTTTCATAAGCGGGCCCGATATATTCAAGCCTCTTCCTCATCCCATAAATTGTATTTAACAGTGTAAAACATTCATACTAGTACGGGGATTCAATAACCGGCTGGCTTTCGGACCCCTCCCATATACTGTAAATAAATTAATCATTCCATGGAAATAAACATCTTTTATACTAAAACCCGAAGAAGTTTTCCATTATTACACAACGGTGCCACGTGAAATACATGCACCGTTTCACAACCAAAACCAAAATCATCCAGTTAACTACAGCCATAATATCATCAAGTGGAACTGGGTTATCCGAGGAGCAATCAATTCCAAATGATTCAACCGAACCTAAAAATAATTATTCAATTTGGAGTACCGTTGATACTAAAGTGGCCCAAAAGAAAGCTGTTGGCACAAATACATCTAGGGCAATAATAGAAGTACAGCGGTATTTGGAAGACTCACTGCAACAAAGAAATGCAGATCCTTTGGAATGGTGGCAAGAAAATAATCATAATTACCCATATTTAAGCCAGTTAGCTAGGAAAACACTCTGTTGTCTTGGCACATCAGTGCCTTGTGAACGTGTTTTCAAAATCTGGGTTATTGATTAGTGATCGGCGTAATAGATTAAGCAGTAATAAAGTAGAGATACTCATGTTTCTTAACCAAAATACCTAATTATAGTATTAAAGTACCTAATTTAACTTATTAATTATTATATTATTATTTATGTATTTATATTCATACCTTTTATGAATTATTCAATCATTGTATCTGTATTCTGTATTACTGTATGACTAACCATAAATAATATGAGTATTATGTGACTAAACTTGATATTATACTAATATTATCATTTAAAATTATCATTTTACCATCACTTGATATTTATTATTTATTATTGATAACAGGATAACATAACAGAATTCTGTTATTCTGTGATAGCAGTTACTGCTATTTAGTAGCTGCTATTTTTCTGATTTTCTGTAATAATACTGCCAACTATGCCAGACGTCAGTGCAGCCTGCACGCTAAAAGTAAATAATGTATAAACATAAAATAGCAATCACTGCTATTATTTAAACTAAATAGCAGTCTGCGATTGCTATTGTAAAATAGCAGTGCTATTATAGCTGCTATTGCTATTTCTTACCATCACTAATAGTGGGGGAAGTCGGAATATTATTATTAAATGAGGCTGAACGATTCGGGCCTCAGAGTTTGTGAACATTATTCATTTAGTCATTTATCGAAAAGACGTGATTTCCACTAATAGAAAAAGGAACGGAGAGGTTGTCATCATGTCGTTTAGTGTAAGTGTATAACAAGGTGTATTGATAAGGTGTCGTCACTCTGAACCCCTATACGTATACACTAGGGTGGTCCTTATTTTTGAACATTCTAATTTTTGATGTAGGACCCCCTAACTTTTTTTATTGTTATAAGATGATAATTTTGGTTAAATTTGGTCATGACTACTCACCCCCTTCCCGTGCCCCTGGGGGGTTGAAAAATAGCTAAAAAGGGTAGTTTTGTTGTTTTTTTACTTAGCTAAAAAAGTATGATACTTAGCGAAAAAATGTATAGAGCTTAAATTGTAGAACGCAATAGTTTCATTAATAAGCTTAAGTATTAATTATTGAAAGTTTATTATTTTTATAGAAAAATAGTAAAGTACAACTTTTTTAATTTTTTTGCCTAAATTGATAATTTGTAGTTATAATTATTGAATGGGTGGAGTTATAAACAAAATGTTTGTATAAAAATTATAAAACTATATTTTCTAACAAAAAATGTATGCGTAAAATCTTTATTGGATCATTCATTCCATTGTTTGAGTCAGATTTATAAAATATTAAGCTAAAAAAAAAACAGTAATTTGTAATAATATATAAAAAAAAAATTAAAAAATATGGTTATATGATAATTAAAACTAAATTAGAACCTTTTAATAAAATATGCACACTTAATACTTCAATAAATATCAAACTAATTATTATTAACTATTTATGTAAATTTTAACAATCTTATTAATAAATTTAAAATGGTTTTTTCAAGTTATTTTTTTTGCAATCTAGGTAATTTCTACGATAGTCACTAACTACTTGCAGGACTAACTGTTTTTGTTTTTCATTTTTTGTTAGTAAATTGTTATAGTCTTCAATGAGCTGTATACCTCTTTCTGCAGCATCATTTACAACATGTAGTTTATTTACAACCTCTAATGCATTTTGATCTGATTTGTCAACAGTCCAAGTAGAAGGATCTTGTTGAAGGAAACTTATATCGAAATTGAATCTATTAAAAAATTCACTGGTTTCACTTGATATAAAATTTTCAATTTCAGACATCATAAAATCAGCATGTTTATATGTTCCAAGTGGTTCTTTTTCAAGTTTAAGTTTATTAACCATTTTTTTTTTTTGTTTCAACCGATATATTGATATCAAAAAAAGCTAAGGCAACCGATTCAGGACTTAAATACCACAAATGATTTTTAAATTTATTAAACGAAACTCTTGATATACTTTCATCAATTGTTTTTTAGTTATAAAGTTTTTTAATAAAACTAAGATCATGGTAAGGTGCAGTTGAAGCTAAAGTTGCATTAAACCATGCTTCAATATATACAAAGATCAAAAATACTGAAATGTCACATAGCCCTTCCTCTTCTGCTTTGGTTAATTTAAATTCATAGCGAAATAAATATATTTTTAGACAATATATTGCCTTAGCCATCCACCTCGGGTGATGAAAAGCTCCTGGTAAACGAAATGATTTATTACTCTTAACACCGTGGCCAAGGAAAAACAATGTTAGTTCTAATAACTCTCTATAGTCATCACGTGGTTGATTTTCAGTCAGTTTTAATTGGGTGAAAGAAACAATATGTGTAATATAACTATATAAGGTTCTAGAATTTCATATACATTTTTATTTTCAATACCTGATTTAAATATTTTGTTTTGTCTATATTTTTCCAATCTTTTTGAAATCTTTTGAAAATCGGTACATCGCAACCTACCGACTTACTTATTTTTTCGTCAAAAACACTACGAAGAACGATTTCAAAAATGTGGTGACGACATGGTAAATATAGTAAATTTTTTTCCAAAAGTTGTTCCAATAATATGCATGTAGGTACCATTTAGTCGACTAGTGTTTACCGCAGTCGTATCGAAACTTAATGCTTTTATTGATTTTTGAATATCCCAATTTAATAATGTGTCATAAATTGCAGATGCCTGCTCTTTTCCTGTACCACATTCTAACTCTGGTATTGCAACGATTTTCTCTACATCTCCACACGTTATAATCACAGCAAGTCTGTCAACAATATTCTTACGTATACCTAATCAACTTATTTTATCATTTCCATAATTCCATCAGTAGGTAGTTAAGATAAGACTTTAATACACTCATAATTTGTATCCAATCGTATCTAATAAAATGTATAATAATCGACTTTACTAAATTAATATTATTTTTTTTATGTATCCATCCGTTTAACAAATATATTTAAATAACTACAAATTATAAATTTAGGCAAAAAAATATTAAAAAAGTTGTACTTTATTATTTTTCTTTAAAAATAATAAACTTTCAATAATTAATACTTAAGCTTATTATTGAAACTATTGAGTTCTACAATTTAAGCTCTATACATTTTTTCGCTAAGTATCATACTTTTTTAATTAAGTAAAATAAACAGCTAAACTACCCTTTTTGGCTATTTTTCAACCCCCCAGGGGCACGGGAAGGGGGTGAGTAGTCACGACCAAATTTAACCAAAATTATTTTCTTATAGCAATGAAAAAAGTGAGGGGGTCCTACATTAAAAATATAAATATTTTTTTCTTACCTCTATAAATAAGGACCACCCTAGTATACACTCTTGATTGAAAATATTACCACAGTTCTATAGTCACCAGACCGCCCTTCCTGTCCTACGAAGGCCTGACTAGCCTGTCATATTGTTAAATGCAAAATGTCTTAAAACTTCAGAATTAAAATGCTAATATTTTTTTAAAATTGAAGTCAGTATTTACAAAAACATTGAATCATAAAAAGTTTTTTTTTTTTAAATTGAGTTGGCATAATAAATTTGGAGCCTGTAATTATACATTACATTTGCATTTTATTCATTTGCAATATTTCTTATCGAGTAGTCATCAATTAGACAAAATATGATGTATAATTTAGTCACTTCTTTGGATATTTGCATCCTTCTTAAAATCTTTAAATTAAATTAAAACTCTTATGATTCTGCTCCTAATTCTAATACTAGTCTTTTAGAGTGGAGTATAATTTTCTAGTGCCCATAAAAAACTCTAAAAACATGTTGAAAATATTTTGCGTATTTTATTATTTGATTGGGTATATAATTTATATTATAATGTTATTCAATAATAATTATCTTATAAACTTCAAAGTAATTTAAAAAAAATGGTTTATTTTTTTGGTGTTTTCTTGTTTTTAGCACTTTGCTCATTTTTTCTTTTGTAAGTGAATATCATTCTTGTTTTTACTTAATGCGTTATGATATATTTGGTTAATATTTGACTGTGTATTGAGCAACCAACCTTTGTCAAAAAATTTGTTTATATATTTCTTCAATAAATATAAATTATGTTAGAAAAATAAACAGTGAAAAATACATATGTAGTTTTTAAATTGAAATGCAACATTAAAAACATGATCTTTTACCGGGACAGCTAGTTATATTTATTATATTTAGATATTTTACACTATAATCTAGTACAGTACTTCTCAATTTTTTTCGTCATGAGGCTCCTTAAATTTAATGTAAAACTGTCAAGGCCCCCTTAATCAAAATTATTGTTTTTTCTAAATTAGGTACCATACTAAAATTACATCTACTATTTCAGATTGATAGATAAATTATTAAAATGTATACTAAATTAATGTTTTAATAAACTTTTGAAAAATATTAATAATAGTATTAAAATTTAAGTATTTAATCTTTTTCCATAAACGCTTAAAGTCTAAAGAAAATAAGCACTGATCTACGATGACCATATAGATCTATCAATTATTTAGCATTTAGATATGTTTCTATCCCCAGGATCTCGGTTAATATATCATAATATATAGGTAATAGCATTGATTTTATAATATACTATAAATACTATGAATATATTATAAAATCAATGGTGATAGGTACAACTGAGTAATAAATGCTTATAAAAAGGTATTCAAAATACATATATGTATATGCATTCTGGTAACACATAGGTAATATGAATACTAGTATTAAACTCAATATCAACATAATATAATGAATTGTATTTAAAATCAATATATTAATTAATAATTAATAATTATTATTTGTAAATTGTAACACATTGAAAGCATTATGTATGATAATTTAGGGAATTAACTCTTACATTTTTCATATATATTTTTGTAATAGGAAATTTCAAAATGACAATATTTAATAATATTAATAATTGTATTTGATAAAAAGAAAGTATTTAAATACATGCATACAAATAATTTATAGCATAGAAGTCATTATGCAATAAAAAATTTTGAATTTTATTCATTAAATCATAATATATTTTCAATTTTCTATGGCTTTGGTGTATAAAAGTGTTAGTTTGTCGGCCTCGTTAGGACATATAGCGTTCCCGGTGGTGACGACTATCTGTAGTAAAATTTTCAAACAAGTGACGACACCTTATCAATACACCTTTGTGTATACCTACCTATAATACTTTTATCACAAACTACAGATATTATCGGTTCTTATCAAACAAATAACAATGAACATATTATAATTTAATTATTATTCAATTTTAAATTTTGTACTTGTACTAAGGCTCCAATAGAAGTTTTTAAAGAGCTCTACTTCATACTTGTACTTTTGTAGACCATGGTAGTATTCAAAAATGTATTGTTTATTTGCCTCACTCCTCATACGGTTCACGATCCGCCACTGATATATCTTTCAAATCAGATATTGTTATGACAGGAGTTAGTGGTGAATCGTCATCCACAGTGCAATTTCCAATTTTTGGTGGTTTTAAAATGCTGTATGATGATAGTAGTTTATAAAGTTGGAGAAATGTAGGTGCTGATGGGTGATCATTAGATCCCGCAGCCTGACGAATTATTTCAAAAAACAGTTATTTTTAAAAGTAGTTTTGATAAATAAATTGTTGTAGTATTTTATTATTATATAATAAATGTACTGACGTCAAGTTTGTCTTGATTTATTTTTCTAGTTAATAAATACTTAAAGTTCCAACATGAATTCAAGTATTTACAGAGATCTAAAGTAGACTCAGGTGACTCTCAAATCACAAGCAGTACTGTCGGTTAAATATTCAGATTTTTTTATCATTCCATCTGTGTATTGTTTTTCCCAATCATTCAACCAAATTAAAAATGATTGAAGAATCTATAAGACAAGTAAGTTAAAAATCATTTATTAAACTTGATTTTTTTATTCAATTTTATTTCTTGCCTGTTTTTGTCGTTTACTCTAAGTCCTTCTGCACCAAATTTACGATTAAGTGCATCAAAACAGTCATTAAAATTACTACAGAACATAGCTGTAGTGTCGTAATCTTCTAGGTCAGGCGTGTTATCAGATTTATAAAATAATAACCCATTACTGACCGAATTACTCAAAACCTATAAGTTATAAAAACATAGGTAAGATATTATAGATTGTTAAAAATCTATGCATGTAAACTAAACATTCATATTAAATCATGTATGACTATTGCTATTAATGCTAAATTTCGTACTTAAGTAGCAAAGCGAACTCTCATTTTATCGAAAATACTAAGTTTTACATGATTTGAAGACAATTTTGGGCACACTCAAATTCCCTGGTAATTGACTATCTTGTGCATACAGTACCGTCAACACGGGTGAAATGGAACTTGAGTGGTGACTTGGAACAATATGACTTTTCTTTATTGAATTTGATAGAACTTCTTGAGTTTTGATTATATATCGTTTATCATTCCATGATATTTTATGTTGTTACATTTCCAATCAGAAACATCTTATCATATTTTTTGATATTTCTTATCATTAAACAGAAATTAATGTACCAAATTGTTATCAAAAAAACGCTTTTTTTGTAGACCAAATTTAAGTCACCAAACTCATACTGTTCGAGGCACAAAATTCAGGTATGCATATTTTTTAATTGATGTACAACAGTTTTATTACAAGCTAATCTAAACATTTTTTTAATAGATTCATTATCTGATTTTTTAAGAATGATTTTATTTTTCAGTGTCTAAACAAGGGTGACTTGAAACATGCCGAACCGATACAAGAGACAGCCAGGTAGTCGATCGTATCGAAACTTCTCAGATGAAACTTTACAAAATGCAATTACTGAATTGAAAAATGGTAACTCAAGCTATAGACAAGTTTCAGCAAAATATGAAATTCCTATAAGTACGTTATGTAGGAAATATAGCAAAAAAAATATGAAGAAATGGGGTGGTCAAATAAGTTTGACATCTGATGAAGAAGAGGCAATTGTAAGTACAATACTATATGCTGCTGATTGGGGCTACCCATTTGAAAGTGTTGATGTTAGATTGTTGGTCAAATCTTATTTAGATCGACAAGGAAAAAAAATTAAAAAATTCAATAAGAATTTGCCTGGCCACGAATGGTATAATCTTTTTATTAAGCGACACTCTTCTTTACTAAAACCTAGGCTAGCTGAAAATATTAAAAGATCTAGAGCAGCTGTATCAAGAACAGTCATAAATGCATATTTTGATAATTTAGCAGTAACTCTGGAAAACATTCCACCACAAAACATTGTTAATTATGACGAGACAAATTTCATTGACGATCCTGGTAGAACAAAAGTTCTGATTCGTAAAAATGCAAAACATGCTGATTCAATAATGGATTCATCAAAATCTGCAACATCTGTCATGTTTTGTGTAGATGCATCTGGAGGCATGTTACCGCCATATGTAGTTTATAAGTCCCTACAGATGTGGGAGCCATGGACACTAGGTGGACCAGATGGATGCCGTTACAATAGATCACCTTCCGGCTGGTTTGACCAATCGATTTTTGAAGATTGGTTCCAATCTATCATCATTCCTCACTTTCGTCGATTAGAGGGTACAAAGGTCGTTATAGGTGATAATCTAGCAAGTCACATTTCTGTGAATATAGTCAAGTTATGTAAACAACAAAACATTAAATTTGTATTTCTGCCAGCCAACAGCACACATTTAACCCAACCACTTGATGTTTCTTGTTTTCGCCCCATGAAAATAGCTTGGAGGAAGGTGCTAAAAGAACATAAATTAAAAAAAGAGGCCCGCTTACCAAAGATATTTTTCCTAAAATACTAAAAAGTACTATTGAAAGACTCAATATATCACAAAAAGACAACATAAAATCTGGATTTGAAGCCACAGGTATTTACCCATTAGACCGTCAAAAAGTATTAAACAAGCTTCCAGATAATGAAAGTCCAGCTTCTATTGTAGTACCTCAAGCAATGCATGATATGTTAAAAGAATCAAGATTTGGTTCTAACGATGGTGTGACTAAAAAAGGAAGGCGTAAGAAGTATAATGTAGAACCAGGCAGAAGTGTTACAGAGGCAAATATGACAAGAGATGGAGACAATGAACAAATAATGGAAACTGACCAAAATGATGAGACTGAAGATAATCAAATAAATACCATAAAAAAGACTGAAGAAAATAAGACTGATGAAGATGATGACTATTTATTAAATCAATTAAATGATTTTATAGAAATCAATTTTGAGACTGATGATATAGTATTCGAAAAAGAATATAATAGTGCAGATGAAACTGTACTAAGAGTAGTAGAATTAGCACAACAAAATCAATATGCAATTAATTTTGAAACACATGATTTTGTTTTGGTAAAATTTGAAACGCTTAAAGGCAACTTTGAAGAATTTGTTGGACAGATAAGTGAAATTGATGGAGAAGAAATAACTTGCAAGTTTCTTAGGAAAAGTAAAAGTATGAGTGGATACTATGTATTTCCATTCATTATTGATGAGGCAACTGTTACCAGAAACCAAATTATAAGAAGACTAAAATTGATCTCAGAAAAAAGAGGAAATTACCAGTTTGAATAGATAGTTCCTACCTAGGTAATAATAAAAGTTAACTTTCATGTGTTATCAGTGGCGCCCAAGTTATATTTTTCAGGTGTAGCGAGAAAAAATTTTAACCACCCACCCACCCACCTCTCACAAACTCCAAATTATATTATTTTATACACTTTAATTTTATCATATTTTAATTGATAATATTAGTAAATATTAAGGTACCAACCAATATAAACTATGTTTTGTCAGAATAAGGTGTATTCATTTTTAAAGAGATATTATACATTCATACCAATATGTAACGGACATTATATTTTTTAAATTTATAATTATTAAAACCTTCAAAATAAAAATATTAAAAAATCTTGTGAAACAGCTTACCTTATTCTAATCCTCATTCCTCAATGTTATTTTTATAATACATTGTGCGGTTGTGGTAACATAATTTTCTTTTATGTTGAATAACCAGTTATACCATACGTTATACTATAATACTACATATTAATAATACAGATATCGTCGCCCTCGTGCCAAAACTCAAAAGTGACCATGTGCAAAAAGTGACCAAGTGAAATAACATGTTTAAATGTCTTATTTTGTCCCTATTAATATACGAAAAAAGTGACCAAGTGATTTTGTTATTAGTTTAGGAACCACTGAACACTTCATTTTGACCAACCGACATCTCAATATAATTCTTACGTGTAAAAATTGACTATGTCACTTGGTCATTTGTTGCAAATTCGTTATTGTCACGTTTTTGACCAAGTGACGAGTTGATTACTTTATGTATAATTATAAAACTATTATATTTTCTACATGGTCATACTGTTATATCACATTATCAGCGGTATTATCTTTATCATTAAAACGAAAATTAATAATTATTACATTTTTTTTAATTTTATATACAAATTTTAATAATATTATAAACGGCAGTTTAAGTTTTTAAGTTTTAGATTAATTTTATTAAAATATAAATTTGTTAGTTCCTATAAACAATAATGAACATTCACAGTAGCCGTTGTCGAAAAATCGTATCTCTATCTACGAACTATAATGCTGGTGAGTAACATTTTTAAGGGTTTAAATTATTAGCAGTGTGTAAATAACACAAAACAATTTATGTATGTTTTAGAGTTTATGAACAGACCATCTACTTCATATTATAATGATGAAAAAACTGTTATTTCTGCTAGCTATGTAAGCAGCGATGAATGTAATGACAGTAGTGACGAATGGCTGCCATTAAATATTAAAGAAGGTAATGAAATTGAAACAGATAGTGATAACTCTTTTAATAACAGTAATACTAAGTTAACACAATTTGACGACTTATTTCAAGAAGAAAATAAAATAATTGATGAAACAGAAATTAAATTGGTTATAAAAGAGATTTTAGATAAAATTGAAAATAATAATGCAATAGTTTTTGAAGAAAATACTTTACCGGAAAGTGATTTGGAATTATGTAGGTGGAGAAGAGGTAATAAAGTATAAACTGAAATGGAAAAAAGCTATTAGTGCAAAAGAAAAAAAGTTATCCAAGACACCCAAAATAGTAGATTGTACAAATTGTAAATTTAAATGAGAAAATTATTAATGAAAATAAATGTTTATCCGAAGAAGTTACTATATTAAAACACAAAATTGATTCAATTGAACAGCACAATCTTGGTATAACAGTAGAATTAACAGGCATACCTAAAACTCAAAATGAAGATTGTGTTTCCATTATTGCAGAAATTGGTAAAAAACAAATACGGAACTAAATATTATCGAAGCCTATAGAATTCATTCTGCTATGTCAAAACAAAATATAATAGTAGCTAAACTAACTACACTTGAAATGCGGAAAAATTTAATACGTAATGTTAAATCGTTGAAGGTAACTGCGGATATGGTAAATAGTAAATGGGCAAAGCATAAGTTGTTCATTAATGAACGGCTAACTAAATTCAAAAGGATGCTTTTTTCTCAAACCAGGTTAGCGGCTAAAAGTAAGCAATATAAATTTATATGGATATCTAATTCCGATATTCTGGCGAGGAAAAATGAAAATTCAAATATTATAAAAATCAGATCATCTGAAGACGTTGATAAGCTTTGATTAGTTAATATTTATATTTATATTAATAAATTAATTTTCAATGAATAATAATAATACGCTAATTGTAGATAATATTTTAAATTATATTTATGTTGACTCTTTAGTAGATATACCTTTGTCTAATGATAGTTTCTCCGTTTTTCAAATTAATATAAGTAGTATTAAGGCACATTTTAATGATGTTGTAACCTTATTAGGCTCAGTAAATAATCTTTTTAGTGTTATTGTACTATCAGCCCCTGGACACTCGGTCGCCATCTTTTTGAAGGACAAATTGTTATCACCGCTGTAATCAAATCACTTACATTGTTTTATTCTGTGATAACAACGTGTTTACAGCATGATAACGTTCGAAATTGAAAATATCTTATTCTGTGTTATAAAATTATTATGTAATGATGCAACATAGTTTTTTTTCTAATTGGAGGTCACACTGATGTGTCCTTCAAAAACATGGCGGCATTGATTTAGTTATTATCCTATGTTCCCCGTATATTTTATAATCAGTGTCCATTCTGATTGTCTTATTCTGTGGTACTATGTGAAACCTGGCTTCTGAATGATTTTGAATTTAAATTAAATGGTTATAAAACTATTAATTCGTTAGGAACATTAAATAAATGTGATGGCGTAACTGTATTAGTAAGAGAATCTTTAAACATAATAACAGTTAATACACAAGTATTAAAAAATTGCAATTCATTACACATTACTCTTAAAATAAATAATGATTTATTCCATCTATTTTGTATTTATAGATCTCCTAATGATAATATTGATAACTTTATCAATAATTTAGAATTATTCTTTTATAGTTTGTATAAAAAAAATGTACATAACATTATCTGTGGAGATATTAATATTGATATTATGAAAAGTTCAAAAATAAGTAATGAATATCTAAATATTGTGGCTTTTAATGGGTTTTTGTCGTGTATCAATAATTATACTAGAGTAACTAGCTTTTCTCAAACTTGTATTGATTCGTTAATAATATTGATACGACTAAAATTACTCCATACATATTAAGGTGTGATATTACGGATCATTATGCAACAGCTATAGTATTTCCAATTTTTAACAATCACAATAAACCTAATGCATTATCTAATAATTCAAAGATGAGTAAAATTAATATAAATCATTTAGATTTATTAATTAAAACTGAAGACTGGCTTTCTTGTTTTAATTCCTCAAACGTTGACTCTATGATTGATACTTTTAATTGCAAAATGGTAGAATTTATTAAATATTCATCTACCCCTATTAATAAGATTATACCAAAAAAAAATGCTAAATATAAAAGCATGGATTACACCTGGCATTATTACTTCTATTAGAAATAGAGAAAAACTTTTTTCTAAGATGAGACATAGGCCTTTTGATTTAAAATTTAAAAATTTCTATAAATTATATAGAAATATGTTAAATCTTTTGATAAGAAAATCAAAACAAATGTACTATCAAAATAAATTAAAGCAATATAAAACTTACAACAAACAAATCTGGAAAGTTATAAATGAAATTATGGGTAAACCGAGCAAACAAATGAATAATATTAATAAAATTACAAATTACAATGGTATTATGGTTGAATCTAAAACTGAAATTTGTAATGAGTTTAATGACTTTTTTGTAAATGTAGGAAATAACTTAGAAATAGAACATATAAATTCTGCTGATATTTACTTTAACGATAAAAATCAGAGCAAAAACAGTATTTTTCTTAATCCAATTAGTAGTGAAGAGATTAGTGAGTATATTGATAAGATTAAAAATTTTAATTCATATTATGAACATGGTCTAACAAACTATATCCTTAAGAAAATTTCTAAATCTATTTCTTTTCCGTTATTGTTAATTTTTTATAATGCTTTATTAAAAGGTGTTTTCCCTTTAGCTTTTAAAAAATGTATTGTTATTCCACTATTTAAATCAGGTGATAAATTATCATGTGGAAATTATAGACCTATCTCACTTTCTTTAACTATATCAAACATTTTTGAGAAATGTATCAAAAACCGTTTATTAAATTACTTTAAAAAGAATTCATTTTTCTCTAATTCACAGTTTGGTTTTTTAGCTGGTTTGTCAACAAGTGATGCTCTTTTTAAACTTGATAACTTTGTTCGTAGACATATTGACATTAATTACAAAGTAATGGGTATTTTTCTAGACGTGCAAAAAGCCTTTGATAGTGTAAATCATGAGTTATTATTAAAAAAGCTAGAATATTCGGGTATTCGGGGAGTTGCTAATAATCTATTAAAATCTTTCTTAAATGAAAGAACTCAAATAGTTCAAATAAATGAGTGTTATAGTAAAGCTAAAGATATAACCTGTGGAGTTCCGCAGGGAACAGTCTTAGGCCCATTGTTGTTTATCTTTTTTATAAATGACTTATTGAATATAAATATAGATAGTAATAAAGAATTTATAAGTTTTGCTGATGATACGGCTATTCTAATATCCGAACTAACAATCGACAATTTGTATCATGAAGCAAATAATATTTTAAATGATGTATATATTTGGTTTTGTAAAAATAAGTTAAAGTTAAATTTACTAAAATCTAAATTTATATGTTTTAATTTATCTGCTAATAATGTTTTCATGGACATAATTTGATTGTACATTCCCTAAAATGTAATACTAATTTAAATAAATGTGATCCAAAATGTGTAAAACTTGAAAAAGTCAATGAGTTAAAATATCTTGGCTTAAAAATAGATCATAGACTTAGATGGGGTGGTCATGTAAATTACATAAATGGTATTTTACGTAAATTTTTCTATATATTTCATGAAGCCAGGTATATATTAGATGTAAATTATAAAAGAATTATTTATTTAGCCTTAGTACAATCTATTTTTGCATATGGTATACCCATTTGGGGAGGAGCTTGTAACAGCATTGTACATAACTTAAATGTAACAATAAATGGTATTATTAAATATTTATTAAATCTTCCTCTGCAAACAAATACTATTTTAATTTATGAAAAACTTAATGTAAATATTTTTAAGGTAGTATATAATCAAGCTGTATCAGTTCATTTATTTAAGCATAAACATTTAATACCTGTATTAGATCATGATCACAATACTAGATATAAGCAAAATGTTTATATTCGTTTATTGAAATGCCAAAAAGCCTTTGGACAAAAAAGTGTATTGTATACTGGTCTCAATTTATGTCGATTATTAAATATTAATATTAATCAGTTTGAAAATTTAAAGTCTTTCAAAACTTATCTTAGACATGTTGATTTGTTAAAGAAAATATGATTATACTTAATAAGACTATTATTTAAAATATTGTATAATGTATTATAATGTTTATAGTGTAATAGTATGAAAAACAGATTTATTATTATTTTTTTTTTTTTTATTTAAATTAAGCCTCGGCATCAATGGCCATTGGCAACAATGAGTTTAATTCTAAATTATTTACATATTGTAATTTACATATCAAATACTATTTATAAGGTTGGACTTATTAATAAAGATTATTATGGGTCTTATGTTGTCTGGGTGGAGGGCTTCTGACAAAATGCTTGAGATGCCTGCTTCCCGTCTCTCAGTTTCGTATGCAAGACATTCGGTTATGATATGTTTTATTGAGAGAGGAGTACCAGATTTATTATTATATTATTCAAATTTATGTATATTCCTAGGTAGGTCAAAAGAACTCGATCCCCCAGCACAAGCTTTGCTTTTAGGGGGCGCTGCAATATGTAACTCGTGTTATTTTGTTATTCTTATTATGTATGTACTGTTGTTGTTGCAATAAAGTTCATTATTATTATTATATTAAAAATGTTCTTTAAATTTTGATGAAGATTACAGAATAAAACTTTGTTCATACTTTTGGACTTTGGAATATAATCGGCATTTAATCGGATTATATTTTATCGTGTGTTACCCAAGCACCAGTTAAATGTCGTGTTTCAGAACAAGTGAGAAAGGCAAAAGAATTTTCTAAAATGTATACATTTAGCTTAAACTCATCAGAGAAAGTCCGTGTGTGCAAACATTTTTTTTTTAAGAACTTTGGCAATAAGTCATGGCTCAGTCGATAAAGCGTTTGAAGGACTTGGAAATGGAATATTTATAAAAAATGATAAAAGAGGTAAAACACCATCAAAAAATAAAACTCCCTCTGATGTTATTTGTGAAATAAAATCCCATATCGAAAAATTCCCAGCTATCGAGTCTTATTATTATAGAGCAACCACTAAACGGAAATATTTAGATCCTACACTTTCAATCAGGGGTTGAAATCGAAAAAAAATTTTTGATTTTAATTTTAATTTTGATTATCGATATTAGTTTTTTTTTATTTCGATTGTGGTTTCAAATATCGATATTTATTTTTTTCAATTTCGTTTTTGATTTCGAATATCGATATTAATTTTTTTCAATTTCGATTTCAAAATTGGTATTTATTTTTTTTCGATTTCGGGTTTAAAACAGAATGTTATCCATTACTCATAATAATTTCCCAAATTTTAGTAAATCATCAGCATAATAGTGTTGTAGCTACAAGCTACTGATGTAGGTAATACATAAATATATATTTAAATTTAAATTAATTTTTTTATTACCTATAATGTTATAAAACGTTTCATACACACTAAAATTGTTATAATATTAGTGTCTCAAAAATGAAAAAACATATGAAAGTGAACTAAAAAGAAATAAACTAGGGATACATCTATGTGAAATGATTAAAATATAAAATATAGTTTTTTATTCATAGATCAGACTTCATTTAACTAAACATGAAGAGAACAATGTTTTAAACTATAAGTTCATAGGTAGGTAATACATAAAACATAAGAAATGAGTTCATAAGTTCAATATCAACTATTGATATTTATATTTTATACAAATGATATTATTTTATAATTTATAACAACTAAATAATAATGAAACTATGAAAGTATGTAACCACTTGATACCTTAAGTTAAACCACGGATAAAGATATCCTCACGAAGACTAGAATATATTGTATTTGAATAATTTAATAAATATCTGTTGAATAGGATACAATTAAAAAGGGTACCAGGAACAAGGTATAATAAAAGTGTTACGCAATAATTTAATAATAACTCCTGAGTATACTTTATTTATTAAACTTTGTATTTGAGCATACAATCATTATAGCATCTAATAAATTAGCTGATAAGGATGTACGTAAATCAGATAAAATAAACTTAATACCACTGAAACTTCGTTCAACACTAACCTGAAAAATGAAAATAAAATAAAAAAATTTCACATTAATATACAACGTGTTATAAATATAGGTACCTGAGTAGCAGGTACTTCAAGAACAATTGTTGCTAGCTTATAAAGTTCAAAATTGTCGTGTTTTTGGGTCTCCCAAAATGTCAATATATTTGTTTTGTAATGTAGGCGATTAACATCTTTAAAATTACACAGCTTAACAGATATATCATCTAAGATACCTGTGCCACTATGATGACTTGAAGCAGATGATTGAGATGATAAAAATAATTCAAATACATCCTGGTCATCAGTAGTTTCAGTAGTGTTATTAGGAGAATCAACATTAGTACTGGCTGAAAAAAAAAAATATTATCTATATATATAAAAATGGAGACAAAAAATTCGAAATTGCATTAGTTGAGAACGGCTGGGCCGATTTTGCTCAAATTTTTTTTAACATGTTCGTAATTGCCAGGTGAAGGTTTTTACGAAAGAAAATTTTTAAAAAGTCAACGGAATAATTAGAAAAACTGCAAAAACTATTTATTGATGTCTGGGATTTGAACTCGATACCGTTGTCTTTATTTACTCTATGGTGTATTATTTTATATTGGTTGCTATTGGTTAATCGGGCATGTTTGTTGATTTGTATTATTATTTTTTGTACATATATCTTATATATAAATGAATGACAGTGTGTAGATTAGACCTATGGGAAGAAGATACGCTAATTTAAAAAGGGTTAAATTTGGTTTCTTTTATTCATCGGATTTTAGTTTTATGTTAGGTTAGGATTTATAGGTAGGTGGAATTAAGTAAAAACGTCAAACTTGGTATAACTTTGGTACTTTTTGAGTTAAATCATACACTTACGTACAAACAGCACGGGGTCCGCGATCTACCGCAGGTAAATTACCTATCTGATAATGTACTGCTGCAATTCAGAATTTTTATTCCGGGCAACAGAAAAGTTAAGATAAATCTAGAACATCATACACCGAATATTAAATAACGCATTGAACAATGTTTGAGTCATATAGAGTTGGTACATTTAACGGGAAACGAAGTGCACGGGATCAGCTAGTTATTTATATTTACTGCAATTAGTTAAAATTGTTTATCAATCGGTGTTAACCTGTAGCTGAGTTATTGACATCACCAGTTTCACATATATCATCTTGTATCTGAATCATAAACTTCCAAGTTTTAACTAAATGATTAATTCCGGTGTTTTTGTCAGCTTCGTTTAACATGCATTGATAACGTGGATCAAGGAAAATTGCTAAAGTAAAAGTATTAAATATTATTAAATGCAAAATACACCGATTATCAAAAGTTTATGTACTTCTATACTTTTTTTGGTTAATCTATGTACAAATTGGATTATCAATGGTCAATGTGTACACTTTTTACAGGACTCTTGTGTATACACAATAAAATATTTTTCTTACAAAAAAATATAGAAGTCCATAAACTTTTTTAAGCTTTTGTTAAGAATAAATTATATTATAGTCTTCAGCAGCACCAAGTTATCAGTCTTTAAATTATGTTTTAACTGTAGGATATAAAGTATTGCATATGGTTATGACAGTTATTATATTTCATTGAACAAACCTGCCAAAAAAACAGGATTTTTTAATAAAAGCACTTCACGCTGTTTCATTGATTTCAAAATTTGCTTAGCTAAAATTGAACCATTGGACTGGAGACCGTGGGATGCTTTAAGCCATACCCCATAGAAGTCACCGAAGTTTATGTCCTGCTTTTAAAGAGCTAAAGTAGGTAGCTATTTTGACAGGCTCTAATGCATCAACCTAAAAACCATTATTTTAGTATATATTATATTCAAAATTAAAAACTTAACTATAATTAACTGCATAATACTTTTTTAAAATAAATATAAGAAAATACAAAATGTAAAAGTCAAACATTTAGATAAGAAAGTGTACCTTATAATATTAAAAAAAAAAAAAAAAAACCATGGCATAATTAATTCATACCTAGATTTTTTTTCATTTTTTGTCACATATACTTATAAATATATGCTAAAAATATCTAGTTTCAAAAAAAAAAAAATTATTTATGCAATGACTTATTATGTTATGTTTAATTAAATATATATTTCCAACACTAATTTGCAACATTTGTTTTAGACCAAACTCGTATTAATGTACCTACAGTAGTTACATTTTTTTAAGAAACTACAAGAACTAAGGCGATGGGAAATTAATTAGTTACCTATTCATTTTATTGGATGCATTAGAGTCTATATCACTTGTGAAAATCTATGTACCTTAACTCTTAAGGCTTAAATTCTTAACATACATTTTATAAGTTCCAAATACCTACTCTATCTGTTTACTATTTTAAACATAGGTATTAAGTGTGAACCCAAACAACCAAACAAATACCTACATTATCTACTTACCAGAGCTGGAGCAGGAGCTCAATCAAGGGTATTTAAATACTATATTATTTTATATTGATTAGTTATTAGGTTCCTACTTCCTATAGATATAAGTTATATACTTAAAACTGTTATTAAAATATAACACATCCTAACCTAACGCCACTGATCTAAAGTAATAACAACTATTAGGTAATATAAAATAAATTAAAATATAATATAATATACTTAAAAATGTTACGATAAATTAATAATAACAGCAGTCAGCAACAAAAATTGACAATATTGACTGCGCGATAGGTTCGTCGTATTGTGATACAAATTACAAACATAACAATTTACCACTAGCGAAGTCGACGGATATAATAAAATGTTTAAAATAGTTAGGCCATAGGGGCGTTGAGCCGTAGAGAAACAAAATAATTCCGGAAAACTGGTAAATAATAAATATAGCCTCGAATTATGAATTTATGATATTCGTTAAAAATAGTTTAGGTATAAATGTATAATAATACCGCTTGAGAAATTTGTGGCAAATAATACAAAGTATTATTAATTATTAGTATTTGATATTTTGGCAGGGGCGTCTCCAGACTTTGGCTATGGGGGGGGGGGGCGAAATAGTAAAAATATTATTAATTTACATGGGATTCAGATACTGAGTGTTATGATGTATCATAAACATCTTTTATTCTAAGCAAAGCGGTCTATTATCTTGTCACTGAAATGTTACATTATTAAAAACAAATCACCATAGTCATTATAGTATACAAATTTATTTTATTGATTAATGGTTTATATAACAAAATCTAAACATCTTTTATTCTTAGCAAAGCGGTCTATTATCTTGTCTACGAAGCTGCCTGTGTATATGCAAAAGCGCCAAACCCGTTAATCTACTTTGGCCCATTTCACTTCTTATCCAAGTTTTCAACCTAAAAAGCAATCAAATTGAAGAAGAAGCATACTTTAAAATTAAAGCAAAAGCATATTATTTAATACTGTATAGTATTATTATTACATGTATTATTATTTTGTACAGTTATAGTATATTTAGTATAAGATAGTAAATATTTTCTATAGTTGTACTAATTAAATATCAATTATTAGCAAAAAAATAACACTTATAGTAAAATAAAATAAAAATGCAACGTCAAATAAAATTAATAAAGTTACTATAATTCAAACATGTTAAAAATACAAAAATCCGGTACAAAGGTCCGAAACCTTAATAGCTCACGAAAATTTCCTTCGTTTACTACAGATAAATTATTTTTATTCTGCTCATTACCTATCAAGCTGCCTTGGTCACGATGGCCACGTAAAGGAATGTTTTGTCGCTCAAGAAAAATCACTGATTCAACAATCGGTTTTAATCTGGCTCGATTTTCAGTAACTTGCTTCAACCTAGTACTATTAATTACATTAATAATTTCTTTTTCCGGATTTTTATAGCAAATTAAAAAATCATTGGCCATTTGTGTTGCATTTATATGGTATAAGTTTTTACTGTGTGCTAAAATCACCAGTTTCACCCAACATTTTGGCATATTTATCAAGAGGTACAGTTACCAAACTTTTTAGAGTTACATTTTTATCTTTTCCTCCTTTATTTGCAAAAAAAACACAATAATTGCAAAAAACACCACCTTTTTTTTGTGAATATACAAGCCATTTATACTGAATAAAATGATCCCTTTTGAGGTATCTTTTTTCTTGTTTACCTTTTTTATTATGCAAACTAAAAGGGTATAGAAAATTATTATCAGGAACATTAGGTGCTTCTAAAAACCTTGCTTTTACATGGTCAGTTTGACTACCTTTTTCTAAATAATCACCAATATCATTACTTAATTCAGTTGTCATTGAAAAATGAGTTGTAGTAGGTTCATTCGGTGATTGTTGATTCAGATGTACCTGTGTTACAGAAGATACAGCAATTGGAATCGGATCATTCATCATATTTGTACGTGTGTCTTGGATCGTTGTCTTGGATCGTTTTTCTAGCCATGTTGCAATCGAACCACTATTTTTACGTTTGTTATCGTTCATAATAAGAAATAATTACAAACTTTACTGTCTTTACTTCAACCAAAATAATATATAAATAATAAATATAATAATTAATAAAAACATAATAAATAATTACTGAACTATAAAAAAAGAGTAATATTTAAACAACATCAAATTGAATAAATTCAGTTGACTGATAACAAAATGACAAATATTGGAAATAGGTTATCAAGAATATAGCCGGGAATTATTATCAATAATAATTGTTATCACTTATCTCTCAAGGAGTGTGTTAACCACGGACCACGATTTAAGATATACCTTTAAGGTAAACAGAATATTGTGTTAACCACGGTTGTAGCAGCTACAGCACCTACGAATCACACATCATAACAAGATAACATGATAACATGATAATTGATAACAAGATGAACAAAAAAAAAATATTTTATTTAAATAATATAAACTATAAAATTAACCAATAATTACTATGTATGTAATTCTATACTCTATCCAACTCACGGGGGGGGCGGTCGCCCCCTTCGCCCCCCCCACAAGGACGCCCCTGTATTTTGGTCACGACTGTCAATACGTTATTCAGTTCTGTTGAGACTATGTCTAAATTTATTATTTTATATTACTATAGGCTATATTTGGATTTATTTTATATACAAATAAAGTAATAAATCTATATTAGGTAAAATAAATATTTTAGTATTAGGCGATTAGGTCTTTAATCAGAATCAAATAAGGATTTCATTGGATTTTATTTTTAAGAAAATGATTATTGAATTACAACTAACTAAAGTCTAAATATTGTCTCAAAACAACAATTTAAACATCATTTAAATTTACAACATTATTTTGTGTATTTTGAAAGTCGAATACAAAGTCAAATAACAATAAAATATAAAATCGGTAAGTCAATCCCTCAAAAATATTACTATCTATATTTTTTGTAAAGGGTGATTTTACTTAAAAACATAGGAAAACAGAGGCGTGCCCAGGATCAAAATGTAGGATAGGCCCGCTTATAATTATTTTAGTTTATATAATATGTACCCAATACACATTTTTTTTTTTAAACTTTATAATATTTTTAAATTGAATTAGAAAAAATGATTATAAAATAATATATATAATACAACACAATTTATTCCTCCTGTTTGGCTTGTTAATAATATTTAAAGATATTAAAAATTAAAATTAAGTTTTTATATAACTGAATAATAAATGAATACAAATGAAACAATAGTATTTTTAATTATAAGTACATAAAAATATAAAATATAATAATTATTTAGTGAATTGAAGTCTTCGATTTTTCAATTTAGCAAATTCGTCAACAATCTTTGTAGGATCCTGAATTAATTCGAAACTTAACTCCCTCTCAATAGAAATTAACGCTAAATTATGAAGACGTGTAGTAGACATAGATGTTCGTAAATAAGTTTTTATCCTTTTCATTGTTGAAAAACTTCTTTCGGCCGATGCTGAACTTACAGGTATAACTAACACTCGTTCAATGACTTTTTTAATTTCTCCAAATGACTGCCCCATAATGCATATTTCGTTGTAAAAACCTATGATATTTTTACAACTACTGTACATATTTTTTGCTAATTTACTTTGACTTATTACTTGGTCAGAGAAATAATTAGCATCTCCATAATAATTTATACACTTTAAAACAAAATCATCATTTAAAAAGTTGGTCGATATCGGATTGAATACTGAAATAGCAGTTAAAAATTCTGAATTGTTGTTAAATCTTTTTTTCATTTCGCTCAACATATTATCTATTACTGTAAAATACATAATTCGAAATTTTTGAGTCGTAGTTTTATTACATTTTAAGCCAATTGTTGAAGTTATTACATAATCACTTAATGTACTATTAATATTTTTCTGTCTTTTTTCATAATTATCCATAGAAATATTTAAATCTGAAACCATAATTTTTGAGCTTTTTTATAAAAGTTATTGAAAAATTCATCCGAACGTAAACGTTGAAGCTCTTTTATTGTAGCATCAATTAAATTTAAACACTTAATTATATCGAGAGAAGAAGATTGTAAATGTATTGAAAGTACGTTGATAGTTGATAAAAGGTTATCAAGAAATGTTAAAACAAATAATACGTCAAACGATCGAAATTGGTTTAATAACCCTTTGGCTTCTGCGGCCTCTTTTTTTTTTTAACTACTTGACAGTTGTGATAAAGCTTTTATGACATGTTCAAAACGAATTTAAAAAAAATGAATACCTTTAAAATGGTAAAATGGTACCTTTATATTTTGCAACCCATCTAGTATCACTATGTTGAGGGACTTTTAAAATTGTTTCACAATCTTTTTGGGCATCAGAAAATATTTTATAACGTAAAGTTGAACTCGATTGAAATGCATAAATTGCTTCAAGCAATCCAATCGTATTGTCAACAATCTCAACTGATTTAGCTGTGTAAGATAGTGTAAGATAGTTAAATAAAATTATGAACATCAAATAATAAGTATTAATATATTATATAATCATCAATCCAATAGATACTTTATTATATTAAGCTTTTAAAATTTTACCTTTCTTGCTTGAACTATGCAACTGGTGATTGGTGCGTTTTTAAACCCATCTAGAATACATAGTTGCAAAGTATGCACGGCACATCGCACACATGACGTTATAGATGAAGCTGATATGGCGTCAAACACATCATCTTCAAAAGATTGAATCGCTATGTTCGCTTCATCTATGTTAATTTTACAACATGCATTTTATTTATTTATGGAAGATACCCAGTCATTTCACCAACATTTGTTTTACGGTTTATTGATATTGAGTGTTAAGTGTGTAATATGATAGCTACCTACTCTGTTTTAAGTGAAGTTTTTAATTGACCTATAGGTATACACATTTTTTACATTTAAGCTATAAACATCATCCGCTTAAATTAAACTATTAAAAATGGTCTTGTTTATTAAGTCTTAAGAATACAAATACAAGTACATTTTTTTTACTTTTAAAAATATATTAAGTTTTGTTTTTCATGAAAATATTTAGACCACACTTTTAATTTATTTAGTATAAGTAATTTATTTAACTTTCAAATATTTAAAAAAAAAAGTATTATCCACGCAGATTATGTTAAATATTTAAAGTTATGGTATAACCATGTAAATATTAAGATGATGTCAGCGCACTATTTGTTTTCTCTCTCTGGCCCACGCGCAATATAAACAAAACGCATTTACGCAGAATCATTTTTTCTATGGTTCTAACTTTCTAAGTAATCCTAGATTAAAAACACTTATTACAAAAAAGATAGAGAATAATATTTTTGAGGGAATGTCATATCGATTTGTCTAAATATTGTCTCAAAACAACAATTTAAACATCATTTAAATTTACAACATTATTTTGTGTATTTTGAAAGTCGAATACAAAGTCAAATAACAATAAAATATAAAATCGGTAAGTCAATCCCTCAAAAATATTACTATCTATATTTTTTGTAAAGGGTGATTTTACTTAAAAACATAGGAAAACAGAGGCGTGCCCAGGATCAAAATGTAGGATAGGCCCGCTTATAATTATTTTAGTTTATATAATATGTACCCAATACACATTTTTTTTTTTAAACTTTATAATATTTTTAAATTGAATTAGAAAAAATGATTATAAAATAATATATATAATACAACACAATTTATTCCTCCTGTTTGGCTTGTTAATAATATTTAAAGATATTAAAAATTAAAATTAAGTTTTTATATAACTGAATAATAAATGAATACAAATGAAACAATAGTATTTTTAATTATAAGTACATAAAAATATAAAATATAATAATTATTTAGTGAATTGAAGTCTTCGATTTTTCAATTTAGCAAATTCGTCAACAATCTTTGTAGGATCCTGAATTAATTCGAAACTTAACTCCCTCTCAATAGAAATTAACGCTAAATTATGAAGACGTGTAGTAGACATAGATGTTCGTAAATAAGTTTTTATCCTTTTCATTGTTGAAAAACTTCTTTCGGCCGATGCTGAACTTACAGGTATAACTAACACTCGTTCAATGACTTTTTTAATTTCTCCAAATGACTGCCCCATAATGCATATTTCGTTGTAAAAACCTATGATATTTTTACAACTACTGTACATATTTTTTGCTAATTTACTTTGACTTATTACTTGGTCAGAGAAATAATTAGCATCTCCATAATAATTTATACACTTTAAAACAAAATCATCATTTAAAAAGTTGGTCGATATCGGATTGAATACTGAAATAGCAGTTAAAAATTCTGAATTGTTGTTAAATCTTTTTTTCATTTCGCTCAACATATTATCTATTACTGTAAAATACATAATTCGAAATTTTTGAGTCGTAGTTTTATTACATTTTAAGCCAATTGTTGAAGTTATTACATAATCACTTAATGTACTATTAATATTTTTCTGTCTTTTTTCATAATTATCCATAGAAATATTTAAATCTGAAACCATAATTTTTGAGCTTTTTTATAAAAGTTATTGAAAAATTCATCCGAACGTAAACGTTGAAGCTCTTTTATTGTAGCATCAATTAAATTTAAACACTTAATTATATCGAGAGAAGAAGATTGTAAATGTATTGAAAGTACGTTGATAGTTGATAAAAGGTTATCAAGAAATGTTAAAACAAATAATACGTCAAACGATCGAAATTGGTTTAATAACCCTTTGGCTTCTGCGGCCTCTTTTTTTTTTTAACTACTTGACAGTTGTGATAAAGCTTTTATGACATGTTCAAAACGAATTTAAAAAAAATGAATACCTTTAAAATGGTAAAATGGTACCTTTATATTTTGCAACCCATCTAGTATCACTATGTTGAGGGACTTTTAAAATTGTTTCACAATCTTTTTGGGCATCAGAAAATATTTTATAACGTAAAGTTGAACTCGATTGAAATGCATAAATTGCTTCAAGCAATCCAATCGTATTGTCAACAATCTCAACTGATTTAGCAACATCGGCCAAAACTAGATTAAGCCGATGTGCATAACAATGTATATAAAGGCATTTGTTTTTAGAAAGTTCTCTAATTTTTACTTGTACGCCATTGGTAGAACCAGACATTACTGATGCACCGTCGTAGGATTGACTTATACATTTTTGTAATATCTAAACCAACTGAATTTAAAAATTCGATAATAGAATTAGTTAGGCCTAGTGCATCTAATTCTTCTACTTGTACAAATCCTAAGAACCTTTCTTTTATAGTTAGTTTATGTACATATCTAATACATATTGACATTTGTTCAAATGTTGACGCATCACGAGCTTCATCAACAATTAAACTATAAACCGAACTACCTTCATTCACTTCTCTAATAATAGTTTGTAAAATTACATTTGAAGACGCAAATAAAATATCATTTTGGATTTTATTTGAAGTATATTTAGCATTTTTAGGTAGAGACTTTAAATTTGTATTAAACTTTTCATTTTCCAAACATAGTAAATCTAATAGTTCTTTAAAATTACCTTGATTTTTTGTAGTTTCTACGCCGTGTTCGTCTTCATTTGAATATTCGATTACATTATTGTGACCATGTAAACCTATATCCTGTCGTGCGCAATACAAAACTGAACGAATTACACTTTTTAATATTTCTCGATTTTTATTTATATTCTCTTCGACATGACTATTCATTTCAGTCGTAACAGCTCCTATACTTTTTGATGATATACAGGGTGATTCTTTTATCAAACAACACTCATTATTTGAAAAAGTATTGACTTTTTTCAAATTTTTTTTTTTTCAAAATTGTAGATTTATGCTCTTCTAGAATTGTATATTTTTTTTATATTTTTCACCCTTATATTTAATAGGTAAACCACTATCAACTTTTGATTTTCAAATGGTAACCTATACTAAAAATTTCATAATTGAATAAAACTATTTTTTTCATTAATTATTACGTTCAAATTTTCATTTTTCGTTAATCCGTTGATGAGATATTGCTCCTCAAAGTTAGGTGGTTTTTGGAGATAGTTATAGTGTGTAAATGTGTTATACCTCGTCAGTAGATACCGCAGCTATCAGGATTTTTATGTCCCAGGGCAAAATATATCACACTTTTCAAATCAGTTCATAAAGTACTTAGAGCCCCTAAATGTATTTTATTATGCCCATCTTTCAGGGAGTCATGAAGTTCACCCCACGAAGGTGATTGCGGCACTGGTCAGTGGTCGTAATAATTATTATCAATTATAAAGACCAGAAGTTACAAGTAATAAATTCGATATCGTTCGACCCAAGATATAGCGGTGATAATCTTTGTACCTGACAGCCGATAATACCTACATACAATAACAAACGATCATATTATTATTGGTCTGCTTCTGTTTGTAGCTTCGATCACAATTTAATCTCTATTCTATGCTACGACACACCATAGACTAACATACGGAAATACAGAATTATTTTAGTCCATAAAAGTTAATGTTGTCCATGGTTTATCATTATAACTGTCTATCATACAGAAAATACAGTGTTACCAACATGTGTATTTACAAAATAAATAGTAACAGTAACTTGCTATTTATTTATGTCACAAATAAAATCCCGTTTTTGTTACTCTAGTAGACTGCCTGTACTACAGTTGCAACAACTGTTAACTGTTTTAAATCGCTGCTGTACTGAGCTGTAGTAGTGTACAGTAATTTATTGTCTGTAGTTGTCTGTTACTCGTTACTGACTATTATAATTTATAGCATGGTGCATACTGCATAAATATACAATATAT